TGCACAATATGTATCTCTGCTTCCAAAACACTAGGTGCTGGAAATGAACCTCTGGTCCGTGTGGTACAAGAGTGGGTGGAACAGCTGTGTTTTCACACCAATTGCAAAGTTTACTGCAGCTGAGAATATTAGGTTGGTTACTGTTTCTACGAAATGTTCAAATTTTAATTTTGAATTAAAATAATACACAATCTGTTTTTGTTAAATATGGCATTTCATCTCAGGGTAACTGTTCCCAGTAGGAGGGAGCACAAGGCAAGAATATGCCCTAGATGAGATGCCAGTCTATCAAAGGGCACATACACACGCATACTCACACACACACACAAAATAGGCAATTTTGAGATGCCTTTTAGCCTAACTGCATGTATGGGCTGCGGGTAGAAATCTGTATCACAGACCAACATTATGCAAACTCTAGTTACACACGGATTCGAACTCCCAGCATAGGGGTGCATGATATATTAGATGCGATTATCGTGCATGCACATATCATTGCAAAGGGGTGGAAAATTTCCAGAAACTTTCCATTCCTTGGGAAGTAAAGCTGGGGAGTTTTAGAAATATTCAAAGCTGGAAACTTTCCATGGGAATTAACGGGAATATATTAACTGGAAAACTCACAGAATATCGTAACTAATTCACATCACATTTGTCTGTACTGCTTTGTGTCTGTTGACACAACTCATAGCATCACCACCAGCTTATTTTGCACATTATGTTGGTAGATAATCAGAATCAGATTCTAATTCAAATGTTCATAATACGTTCTGCTTAGTTAGACAGTAGTTCATTTCGGTTCATTTCATAATTTTGTCTTTTTTGTTTTATAAATATCGCAGTGTTACTTGCAGAAATTTCACGTATTGCAATGTGACATCGTGCAGCCCTACCCTAATACTGGAAGTATGAGGAAACTTGTGGCATTGTAATAAAGACTTCTGCTCTCTTTCAAGTATCTGTGGATACAGAGTGCCAATATTGTGTATTTTTGTAAAACTTCCCATACAGACTTTAAGTATATTAGTGTACTACCAATCCAACTTATTTATCATGTGCTTGAAAACAGAACAGTTTTGTGCCACAGCTGTCTGTTAATTTTGTTTGCTGTCCGTTAGTGATTTTTTTATACAAAGCTCTTGCAAATAAAAACACTGACCAAATAGATGTAACACTCCAGAGAACATCAGTTAAATCATAGCTCCACTTTGAAGTGGAGTAAACAGCAAGTTTCACAACAAATTAAAAAAAAAAAATCACAGTTCCACTCTGTGGTATACCAGCTTTGGATTAACACTTAAAATGAATCATAAGACCAAACTCTTGAGTTTCTGCTTGGTGGAGTAGTGACTTTATATTAAATGAGGAATGTCAAAATAATTGAATTGCAACACTTTTATTATCAGGGAAAGGTAGTTTTCAAAGCTGCTTTAATTGCAGCTGCAGCAGGGGGTCTTTCCCCTATTCTCACTCACTCGCACATTTTGTGTATCAATACTTGCACTTCAAAAGAAGGTGAAATCTCTAATTGAGGAACATCAGCATCTCTTCGTCTAATCAGCGATGTTAGGTGCTGGAATGAAGAGTCTCTTATACTGGTGCAGGAAGGAGCAGAGAAACTTGGTTGCAGTAGCAGCCAGTCAGGGGAGATTGTGATGTAATTCTCTTTCAGTGCTGTTGTGGATTGTCTGATCTTGGCATGTTTTGCTCTGCAAGGATGAGTCTGCACTTGTACAAGTGCTGATGAGGCACTCATAGACCCTGTCTCCATATCGCGCTCCACTAAGATCTCGCCAGCCCTGCAGGTTGCTGTGTTTTGACATGGCACCTTTACAGCAAGTTTTCCCTCTGATATCTCCCAGGCTTCTTCTTCTCAACCTGGACCATTTTGTTTGGATTTATCTGTATCTGGAAATAGTTGACTGTATATGAATTTGAAAGGGCTCCATTATTTATGTATTTCTGTTACAGCACAATTAAATCTCTTAATTAAGGAAGAAGGTGGCTTAAATTATGGTTAATGTTTGCATAAAAAATGTTTTGCAAATGACCATTATCATCACTTTCAAAAGATATGTTTACTGGGCTTGACGGTATTTCTGTCTGGGATCCGCCCCAGTGGCTGTTCTGTAGAGCTACTCGGGTTCAATCAGGCTAAAGCGCCTTTCTATTGTCTCAGAGTGTTTTTCATCAGGCTTGATACCCTGGTCAGTACCGCTCTCTAGCTGGACCGTTCTGGCAGGTATGATATCAGCTTCAGCCTCAGTGCTCACCGCCCTGATCAGCTCTTCAAAGGGAGTTGAAACCTCAGTTGTCTCCTCTGTTGTTGTCCACTAGTTCACTGTCAGTGTTGCAGGGAGGCTGTGCTTAGCTGCATAGAGGCTGAGAATGCGCTTCTGCTCCAGGAAGCTCTCCATCGTGTGCTGTTCCACCTAACTTGTGCAACTCACTGCAGGCATTTTGTTGGCATGTTCATGTCGGGCTGGGTAATCTCCCGGTGTGTCAGCCTGTGGCCACTGCTTGAAACGGCCTCCTGTTTTAGTTGCATTAGCGGACCCTTGTCTACAACCGGCCGACATGTCAGCCCCTCAGGCCCGGTACACCTAAATCATCTGTTGCTTTTTACGTATTTCTTGCATTGTCCCTCAAAAGCACACGGACCGGTCGCTTAACTCTTTCCTCTGGTGTTCAGCATCCCCTCACTACCCTGTGTCACGTGTTCAGCAGTACCAGACCTACGGAACTGACCGGCATGCGATACCAAACATTTAATTAAAAACTAGAATCAGTCCGCTGTGAATTAAGGCTAAGTGATGACACTGGGCAAACATCTGAATTCCAAATATCCGCCATAAAATGAATCGCGGTAACGCCCACGGGACAATTTTGCGTGTGGTCATTAACCTTGTTGGAAAGGTCTGGTGTGAGTGTATCTGAAATACAGTAAAGAGGAGGTAAGATGTACCAAAAGTTCTTTAAGTTTGCGTAAGTGTACATTCTACTAACATTGATTTGAGCTGGTCTTCTGATATGAAATTAATTCAGTTATCTTGTCAAATATTTTGAGGTAAGTTTTTTTTTTTTTTTTTTGTTTGTTTGTTTGTTTGTCTTTATAAAAAATCCTGATTTTTTTTCTCAGTGTCTTAGCGTGGCTGATTTTTATGAACTCGCTGTACCCCACCGAATCCTGTCCTTTCCTTATTAAGGTACTCGTATTGAAAGCAGCCCTACCACTGCCACAATGACAGACACCGATGTTGCAAATGCTAAAGGTGACCTTTGGGCTGTTTTCATTTTACACAGTGCAGACATTTCTCGTAGCCTTACTTTTTCAAGACACGACTTCCCACACAGATTTAAGCCTTGCTGGCACGAGCTTTGATTATGCCCAGCATGCACCATGTTATATGACATTGTAAATGGGGAGGAACTGGAGAGATAAACCTAAAGCAAAAATAAAATAAAATAAAAGCGGATCAGATTTAACATAGCAGATACCAAAGAAATAAAATATATTTTGGCTTCGATACAGATCCTGCAGATCGGATCAGAACATCCCTAGAGGTAGTGCTATTACCAACTGTGCCACCCACATTTAAAATACACATTAAATAAATATTCTACTACATAGCTGGCCAGCATTGTTCTTAGTCATGTTTTTGACAAATAAAATTGTAATATTGAATTTTTTGTGTTAATACTTTGTTGAAATGGCTTTATATATTTAGCGTTTTTGAAATGATGCTATTTTTCTTGCTGCCTTGAGCTGACAGATTAAATAGTAGCTTGTACCTTGGTGTTTTGCTATAGCTTCGCTCTTATAATTTATTTAGAATTATACTTTTCTCATAATATGAAAATGAATTTTTAACTACTCGTATATAATCTGTTTGGCCTTTTATGGGAATGTAAGGGGGCGAGGAATTGCAAAATTTTAATCAAAGTCAAGCAGACTGTGTAACTTACACTAAATCGATTACCACCCCCGACCCCTATACTCTGAGGAATTGCAGTTGGCAGCTGGTTTTTGTCATAATATGCAACTAATCTTAAGAAGCCCAAAGAACTTTGGAACCGTGACCACAGTCGTGAGTATCTGTATCTCCCAGTGTTTTCTCATATTGTTACTATTGCAGTTACAATGGTATAGATGGAGTCTTTATAGAAATTCTCTGAACCTAAATATATCGCCGGCCACATGAAGGCATTTCACAATTTACGGAAGCACCGATCGATTTAGACTTCAATTGGTATGGACCTACAGTTGATATAAACATGGTTTGGTTATCAACAGAGTGTATTGTTGAAGTCTGACTGTGACGATAAGATTCCTTCGTTCCTTCCATTGTTTGTCTTATTGATCTGCGTCCGACAGAAGAAAATGTTAAGTGTGCTAATAGTCTATAGTCAATGTGATTTGTTAAATGCACATTTCTCATGGAGAAAGAAAGTGACAGAAATATAACATGTCAGCTCAGGGTTGGGTCTCTTGAACGAGCATGAAACATTTTAGAAACCAGATGGAAAGAAATCAGGGAACCTGCAGAAAATGCACTTAAAGTTATAAGTCAGATATTGATATATCCATGTCGGCTATTGATCTGCGAGTAGATGCTGTACACAAATGAAATTGTGGTTACCCAAAAGCAAAATGCTTCACCATTAAAATAATGGAATTTCTTACTCTGGTTAGCCAGCCGTATTTAGTGGTCCTGGTTTTTATTGCCTTATTGGATGAATTTAGTGCTCTGACTCCGTCCAGAAGACATATTTCTCTTATGAATTAATTGTACAGTGTTGTGTTGAAGCACATCCAAGACAAGAGAAGCATCAAAAGTGATTTATTTGGATGTATCAAACAGATATTATGGGGTCATATTTTAAACAGACCTATGCTAAATTTTGTAAACATCATGAGCATTTTTATAGTCATTTTAGTCATTTTCTTTTGGTCATTTTACAAACTTAGCAGTATGGTTTGTTATTTGACATACTGTAAGCATATAAACAAACATTTTGACAATGGGTTAGTTTAAAATGGAAACCATACAATTTTATGTTTTTATATATATATATATATATTTATGTATTTTAGGGCATACATATAGGACATTTCTTTTCTTTTTGTCACTGGCTGAAACGTGCTGCTGTTTGAGAAACTGGTCCACATGTCTATGTTCCTGAAATGTGAAATCTTTGGGGTCACGTGTTGTTGTCAGAGCCCTTCATGCACTTTCTGCCCAGTAACATTGTAAGCTTTTCTGAGATTTATGTATGCTGACAATTTTTACTGTTGAAACAAACATGTTCATCAGTGGGGGGTCTCTGGCCAAATAGACCTTTCGGTATGTTTTTCGGGCAGAATAATCTGGGTCTCCTGAATGGACCTGAAATTATAATTTTCCCCATAGGAAATAATCAAAATAGCTGCCAGATATTTGAATTTGTGCTACTCGAGCAGTTTCTAGGAACCAATTGTGTTTGGTTAAAGCGGTATAGGTGAAACTCGACATTCAGCCTGAAAGTGATTTTATACTAATGCACGGTATTAGATGGAATTGCATGAATTTATGGGCTGTGCCCAAGCCAGAGGACACATAATTACGTTAAAACAACACGAGTTAGTGTTCAGTAAGGAGTCTCCTCATACACGTGAGGTGATTTTTTCCCCCCCACATTCAGCCTGGGTAGAGAAGCCCCGTTTGTGAGTTTGAAGTGGAGCCCTATCAGTGTTCGTCCAGAGAGTCTGTTGCAGCTCTTGATATCCACATTGTCCCTGTGAATGTTTTTTTTTTTTTTTTGCAGTTCAGCCCTGGATTGAGGACATCGGCGTGGGCAAACGGATGGAACGGACACGGCAGACGCATACTAGAACCCGTGAAGGTACTTCTGATTCTGTACCATCAATTCGGGCCAGTTAGAACCTTAAATGGTGCGCCGATTACAAGGAGGTCAGGTTATCCATTCAGTCATATAGTTTGTTGTATAGTTATTGTGCTTCCATAGCATGTTATTGTCTGGCAGCCACACATAGGTTTCAATTCGTTAATAAATGAAGTATATTTAGTGTTGGATTTTTCCATAGAGGTTTGCCACAAGGCACTTTTTTATAAAGTTGAGGTAGTTTTTTTCTAAGGGAAATGAAAGATGTGGAAAAACAAGAAACATAACATCGGTATTGGGGGGAAAACAGAAATGATTCCCTGACTTCATTGTGGATGATCGGGCAGTAATCCTGAAGAATAATGTCCTTAAAAAGTGCAGGTGACAAGTGCAGTTGTAAACTGTATATAAATTACTTGATTATGGGCGACGGCAGTTGGGGGCGAGTGATTTATGCTCCGGTGATCCAGCTGTTGTAGGCGGAGGACTGAGGATGGCGTATGCAGATAAATATATCATGCTAACATGCTAATCCGTTCTCTGGACACTGTTGCAGGCCAGCTGTTTGGGTGCAGCTGATGGTCAGTTTGTTTGGGGTCAATGAAAGAGGAAGAAATAAGGAGACGGCCAACTCCCAAGCAGGAAATGTTCCTGCTAATATGAGGAAAACACATGTAACCTTAGGGTGACTGCTTAGCCCGAGTTCATCCTCTGGTTTGGCAGCAGCGCTTTAGCTACAGGCAAAAAATAAGCAGTATTTTTTTTGTTCTAGTCAACATTTGACAGTATGGATGCTGGAGATTGTTCCAGAAAATATGAGGCCTTTCTAAGAAGGCTCAGCCACTCTTAATTTTTTTTGTAAACAAAATAACCATTTTGTGCACAAATTGATTTGGTGGGAGCATCCTTAAGAAACCACCCATCCCCGGCCGCTTATCCTCGTCAGGTTCATGGGGGAGGGCGGGTGGGGCCTGGAGCCTCGGCCAGGCAACAGAGGAATCAAGGCGGGTGTACACTCCTGATGGGATGCTAGCCCATTGCAGTCACACACACCCATAATCATACGCTATGGGCAATTTATAACTGCTGTTTAGCCTAATAACATGTTTTTGGACCGTGGGATGAAATCCACAGGATGTAGGGGGAACAGGTATACTGTACACAAGGAGCAAAGCTGAGATTCAATCCCCCAGCGCTGGATGTGTGAGTCAACAGCACCAAATCAGGCCATCCTTAATATACCTTGATTACTTATTTCATATATGGTTTAAAATTGTTAATTCATGAAGAACTAAGTTTATATTCTGCTCTAAATGTGATGGCTTGTTAGTGCAGGGAAGCAAGTAAAGACTAATGTGACTTTTTGATTTTAGTATAATTGTTGCAGCTACTTTCTTTGAGTAGTTTTATGGAAACATCTTCATGGAAACTTGTACTGAGATGTTTTCCTACATCCTTTAGAGGGAGTGCAGTGGAGTATAATGTACAAATTGGCACTTAAATTAAACTTGGGAAGAGGGCAGCGAGTCATTCATAACTTTTGTTTGCTGGTCAGCGCTAAGGGGTCGTCTCAGCTCAGACTTGTTGGCTCATAGTCGACGTGTCTTTATTTCCTGTTTAACGCTCAATAGTTAACATTATCCTATACAAAGACACACACAAACAGTCCGGGGCAAGACAGCCGTACATGTGACATACGAAGACTTTAGTACTTTAATATGTACTCAGCATTTTCTGCAGTTCTACTGTGAACAGAAAATTCAAGGTGTGTGTTTGTGTGTGTGTGTGTGTGTGTGTGTGTGTGTGTGTGTGTGTGTGTGTGTGTGTGTTTCAGGACCTGACTCTATGGCAGGCAGTGGACAAGCGGACATGCTGGCACGGTCACGCAGGCGGGGGCTTAAGCGCGGATCCCAAGAACGTGGTAAGATCCCCAGGCGGGGGGGGTTTACTCAGCAGGCCTTATTTAGACACCAGCCGAAACAGTCAATGAGAGCAGCTCAGTAATGCAGATAATACTCTAGGGCAAACTGAAAGGCAGGTATTGAAATGTACTTTTTTTTATTATTACTAGAAACCTGGTTGTTAACAAATAACATTTGGTAAAGCTTTATATTAACTGCTATATTAACCCCAGTGTTGTCACACTGTTCAACATACTCTGCTGTGACATATAAAGCGTATATGTGACATATAATGTGCAATATACGTTAAGTGTGTTCAACAAACTTATGTGCAATATTGCTAACATACAATACACATGCTACAGGCTGTCCAAAAAGCCTTCACACCTGCCCTATTATGGTCTCTCATGGGAACCTTGTCAGTATTATACGTTATTTGCTAGCTGTTTATTGTCTGTTGTTTGTTTAATGTTATTTGTTGTAATCTTGCACAGCTCTGTTACTTGAATGCTTCTTCAGAGACTAGACAATTAAGAATTTCATTGTACTCTGTACACCATACTTTGTACATATGACAATAAAAATTTGAATCCAGCTGAATCCTACCTTCATTATGCATTTATAGAACATTCAGTGCACCTTCATAATACATTTATAATGCATTCGTAAAACATTGATAAGCAGTATGTAAGTATACCTTAGTGTCTTAAAGCATCTTTCATGATGTGATTGCTGTAATATGCATTAGTAACAAACATTACAATCATATAACTAATATAATGTTTCTTATTATTGTATATTAAAGTGGTTAAGGTATATTAGGATGTTAAGGTATTCTTACATACGTGTTGCTTATGAATGTTCCATGAATGCATTATGAAGGTGCACTGAATGTTCTACAAATGCATTATGAATGTATTTATGAAGGTGCAGTTAATGTAACGCATTACCAAACATTATTTACACTGAATACTAGGGATGGAAATCTTATATGCTGTTTTATGTTTTAATAAAATACTAATGAAGGAAAATTTTCATATTACCTACTCTAGTCGGATAGCGTATCCATCCACTTTTCAGAGAATAGTTTGCCTACTTCAAAAACTTAAATTTGATACATTATTTCCTTGTTACAGTGTTCCACTTCGGTTTTGGCTGAGAGTATTGTGTAGCTGTTCCTCTATGATCCATTAATCGGGCAGTGATGCATGTTGTTCTCCATCCATCCATCCATCTTTTTATGGCCTGTATTGGTCAGGAACACAGGGCACAATACTGAGATTCACCTAGGACAGGATGTCAGACCATCTTAGGATTCATGCAGGACTGTGCAAAACTCTGAGGCAGCCAAAGATAATGTTTCAGGCTATTTATCTGGGTAGTAAGTGTATATTTGCTCGGGGGAAAAAAAATGCAATTTAACATTCCAATATATGCAATTTAAGAGTAACACAAAAAATAAACACAAACATTTCTTCTGTTCTCCAAGTTACTGATATCTTGTTGGACTGCTTCAGTTTCCAAATCTCTCTTCAGGGGCACCTCAGCCATTCCATGTATTTGTTAAACTTCCCCAGCTCAGTTTATTAACTTTAAATAGTTAAATAACTCACTGAGGTATAGAGCAGCCAGACAAGATGGGTAGTGGTTGAGTCAAAAAATCCATTGGTCTATTGGATGGTTGCTGTAAATACTGGGGTGACTTTAGGAGAGGGTTTGAAATGAAGAGCATTTAAATATTTTGTCTGACTAAAAAAAAGGTTTCGCAGAAGGCTTTATATGCACACACAGTTCTTATTTCACTGTCTGTGGAAGCTTGAGCACCTTCAGGGAGAACAAACTAGACACAGACAGACACAGACAGACACAGACAGACACAGACAGACACAGACAGACACTCCTTCCTTCCTTCCTTCCTTCCTTCCTTTCCTTCCTTCCTTCCTTCCTTCCTTCCTTCGTGGGGACCATACATTTATTTCTCTGGGCATAACCCTTATCCTAACTATGACGGCCTTAACCAAACAAAATAAAATTCTTTTGGCATTTTTAGTTCTTTAATTGCATTCATAGATTTTATTTTATTTAAGTTGAGGTTATGATTGTGGGGACTGAAAAATGTGGTGTAACGATTACAAAAACATGCACATACACACAGAGCAGAGGCGGGATTCAGTCCCCTGCTTCTGGAGGCGTGAGGCGTCAGTGCAACCCACTGCGCCACGGTGCCCCCCCCGCCCCCCCCCCACGTCGTCCTTGCGTCTTTGCATAAATGCCGAAGCTGAGCCCAGCAAAACGCTCTGCGCCGGCTTGTGAGGAAGGCCGTCCGGGTGTCATGTCCAGGCCAAGCTGCTGGGCTTGTTTTTTTTTTTATTTCCAAATAAAGTCAAAGGAATCACACGTAAAGCCCTGAAATCCAATCTGACAGCCACGCTCAGTCTGCCTGGCTTCAGAATAGCTCAACGGATCCCTTCAAAGTTTCAGTTCGACGGCACGGAGCGGCATCGAAAATGTGCCACGGAAAGCCAGCGCGGGTAGAAGGAGACGGGGGGAGGTGGAAACAAGAAGGAGGAGAATATAATGAAATAACTAACAGCAAGGGTTCCGCTCCTGCTGCGTCTGGCTCCCTAAAAATGCACATTTACATGCAGCGCTCTCATAGAGCAAATAAATAGGGAGAGAGTGAGTCACAACAGTCAGAATAATAATAATAATAATAATAATAATAAAAACCTCAAAGGTGCCTATGTGACTGATGGAGATTGGCAGCAGAATTTTGGAACTTTTGAGTATCTCCTTCAACATAGCAGAAGGACGATTCATGTTTCTGTTGGCTACTGCATGTTTGTTTGCTATTGTTAATAAGTACGAAATAACAAAATTCCTTGTTCACCCTCGTTTGGACTGTGGTACCAGAACCTCCTAATTAGGCTGTTTTATCCGGCAAAGGAGGCCTTCATGTCCTTGGCCAGAGGGATCTAGGGGTAGAGCTTCATGCATGATAATTCTGCTCCTCATTCGCAGGTCGCCGGGCGAGATCCCCTATCTAGATTATTTGACTTTATCTGGCTGCAAGATTAGCATACTGCGGCGACCTGTGGGATTCGGGAATGACGGAGAGGAAGAGTGTGCGGGGTGAACGGCCAGTGTGTCGCATTGCTGGAGCAGTTGGGGGTTAAGGGCCTTTCTTAGCTGCCTAATGGAGCCATCGGTTTGCCGGCTCTGGGATTCAAACCAGTGTCTTTCTGATCATGGGTAAAGAGCAGAGCCATAACTTGCCAAACCACACAAACCACCGGTCCTAATGACAGTGACTTGTTTAAACCCCCACCCGAGTAGCATGGCAGGGGAGGTTCCTCAAAGTGGTGACGTTCTAGAAGTTTCCTACTGTGGTACTCTGTGGGTACGGAATGACTTTATGTGCTGGGAGTCCAAGCCCGCCCCCCCCCCCCCCCCCACTTGTTGCTCCACGTGTTGAGTAGCTCTGGTCCCTGAATAAGGGAATGAATAGGAGAATGGTGGCAGAAGGGTCATGTCGTCCTAATATGTATCTGTGTTTCTCCCCGTGGACAGCTGAAGGAGGTGAATTCCAGGCAGATCCTAGCAGCCATGCTATCATACGTCTGGCCCAAGGACAGACCAGATCTGCGGGCACGTGTAGCTGTCTCCCTGGGCCTGCTGGCTGGAGCGAAGGTAGGTGGATCAAGGCATCTGGTTGGTCCCACCCCCTCTAGTTTCCTGAACCCACTCCCTTTACAATTTGATTGGTTATCTCTCAACCAATAATTTTTAGTTCTTCCTTCAGACATTTTTGTATAGGTAAAACCCCCACGAGCACCCAACAGTCCACGTGCTTGTTTTTTGTCTTCAGTGCCGCATGTCTTGTTTCTGGAGTCCTTTCTGTTTGATGTACCTGAAGGTGCCTTGTAGAGTTAACGCTTCTCTTCTCATCAACTAGTAACCACCAGCCATTTCCCGTCACTTGTTTCGCTAATGACAATGCTAATTTAGCTTTAGCTTATTGGCTATTGGCTAATGCACCTGAGCCCCATCGCTGTATGTTGACGGAAATCCTCCTCGGTGCACTTCCTCGTTCAGTTAGGGCCATAATATTCTGCCCCTCACCTTGACTAATTAAATAAAAAATAAAAAAACTCTTATGCATCGTCTGATATTGCTAGCATTTCCGGATTCCGCCTAATAGTTGAGACTATCCTATCTGTTTTGATAAGTGAGGTGTATAATGGAAAAAAGATCCCTCGTAGCTGCAGAACCTCAACTCTGCAGCTACCTGGGATGGATATGCTCATGCTCCTGGAAAGACCAGCCGTTTGAGCTTTTTGTGAGGTCAGACTGCAGTCACGCGTAACGGCGATCGTAATTCACAATGAGTACGAAATATGGTGCTGGGTCTCGGCTGACTGAATACATCAGCAACATCACCAAAATATTCCCCTCTTACTTTTACCTTTATTCGGCTCAAGTGAGAATTCCTTAAAATAACAAATGTTACATTCATTCCTTTTGACGTTTAATTATAGTTTAACATGTCATGTAAAATATACTGAGTATTAATTGCTTCCCCTCGCCACAGGAGTTCTACACTTAACACCCAGCTTCTCTCCCCCATATTTTTAGATGATCAAATTTAGTTAAATTTTAAAAATAAAAAGATTGCACTGTACACGGCATGTAGGAACCGACGAGGAGCGTTTCGACTGGAGACGTAACTCCGAGTATTAATTAGCTTTCGGTGCTGGTTTCCACATGGGGCCAGATTTCTATCTATTTTTCCACATTCTCTTCAGACCACGGGGATTTGCAGCTGTCTGGGGTTCGGCCCTCTGCGTTTTATGAGATCCCATATGTGCAGGATTAAGATAAAGATTGCCGTGTCGGCTCTGCGAAGGGATAGATAAACCACGGTTATCATTTAATCAGAGTGGCTTCGTCTTGCTGAGCTGTCGCTCTCCCTCGTCCCTCCATAGCCGGACATTGCTGGCGTCGTTTAAAAAAAAAAATAATAATAATAAAAAAAATGCAACCAGACCACCTGTTAAGCTTTCGCCAGGGTTCTCTGTTCCATTAATTTGTTGCATAACGGATATTTGACTCCAGCGATTCTGGGAAAAGCGGCTGGACAAAGTGTCCCACAGGTAGCCCCTCGGTGGGACGTGAAGAGGGAATCTCCTGGCCACAAGGCTGTAGTCTTTCGCCTCTTCCTTCTCCTACCATAAATATGTCCAGGTGTCCACCGTGTTCTGTCTGAGATTTGAGAGCCGGTCACTGTTAACATCCGTGTCAGTGCACTGCAGTCTCCGACATGGGTGAGCTGTGTCAGGGCCCATTCTGCGGAAATAGTTCACCAGTCATGCATCAAAAAAAATGTTTTAGTACTGAATACTTGATACTCAGTACTTGCTGTGAAAGGATTCTCTGTTTACTACATGGCCTGTTTTTTTTTTTGGGCCGTTTCTCCGCAGGAATGTGACATGGTGTTGCTAAGAGAGAACACAGATCTCGTTTATTTACTTATTTATTTTGCCTTGGATAATTACGCAGCCAATCGCACGCCGCGTAGCAGGCTGGCGCGTTCCACGCACAGCGGCATCAGCGGTTGCTCATGGCAACCCGAGACACTTGCAACGTGTTCTGTCGCCCGAACGAAAAAAACAACATGTGGTGAGGACAAACGGCGCAGAACTCGAAACAAAGGCAGTAGGAGCGATAGGACGGTGTTAGTTAGCTAGCTAAGTGTGTTTCTTTTGGGGGGAGGGGAACAATGCATCTGAGAGAACAAAAGGAGAGGGGGTCTTTTACCACAGACTAGGCTCCTGCATGCATTCATCAAATGATCTGCTGTTTTATTATCTTTTTTTCTTGTTTTGGAGAAAACAATGATCAAAAACTCTGTAGTACAAAGCTGCCTGCAAAGCTCAACTTCTGATGTTTCCACATCATTATATTGTATTATTTAGGGCGTGACCCCCCCCCCCCCCCCCCCTCCTCCCATCACCACCACCACCACCACCGTTTAATAATTTCCATTTGGTGAAAAGGGCAAAACGTGAACTTTTCACTCATTAGCGTGATGCCAACGTCAGGTTGACATCTAAATCACCCTCTGTGTGGATTCATAAACTCAGCCACCAGATTCCATTGAATCTTTTCAATCGTGAAACAAAAAAATCTTGCCGCCTTTTTTTTGCCCCGCCCTTTTGAAAAACATTTATTAATATAGGCAGCTGTAGATGAAGTCTGAGCTGAGTTTAGGCCGGGAGCACGACTATGCCTTAGAGGTTTGACTGCCCACTTTCGGACGTGCCTGAGACGGGCCCAGCGTCCGAGGTGGGGAGGCGCAGACTGGTTCCGTGAGCAAGTGAGAGAGCAAGTCTAGACGTGAAAATGTACCGGTGCTGCTGGGCACGGTGCTGACAGGTCGAGCCTCGAATGCCAGCCTGACTCCTTGTCATCAGTAATTGGCTATTAAGAGAATCAGCGGCAGCGGTCGAATAGAAATTTCCGGCATGTTCGCCGCCTCCGAAAGGTCACCTTGCTCCGCCCCCGGATCAGCGCTGCTGTTCATACCCGTATTCCTGTAGCTCGTGCTGCAGAAACGCGTCTGCCCGCTCTCTCCTGTCCGGTCACATGGCTCTTTTTTTTTCAGCATGTGCCCACTTCTGAAGCTGGGTATGGTGTTTAAGATGGCTGCAGCTATGCGTCGGAGTGGGGGCGCTTGCTTGTTGGGTGTGGGTGTGGGCGTGGGTAGGTGTTTTACTGTTGTGGAGGGGTCTGGAGAGATGGCCTCGGATGTCCGAGGGTAACGCTGGATATAGCGAGGAGGACACGACTGTCAGGGGAGGGGCTCTGTTGCTGTGCTTCTGGGTCAGCTCCGGCAGTGTAGGGGCTACTAACGGTGACGGGGGATGGCCTTGTGGGTGGGGCACTTGTAATCATTAGCAAAGTCATCACTGGTGCCAATCTGCAGAACTAACAACACAGAACAGCGTGTAGCCCCACCCCTTTCTAATGGGGGGGGGGGGGGGTTACTTACAGAAAGTCAGGCCGCTGTATGCTAAATAAACAGAGTGCCTCTCTTCTCCCCCCCATGTCAGGTGACCAACGTCATGGTGCCCTTCATGTTTAAATATGTGGTGGATGGCCTCAACCAGATGTCAGGAAACGTGCTGAACCTGAGCGAGGCACCAAACACAGTGGCAACCATGGCAACGGTCGTGCTCATTGGCTGTAAGTGCGGCGTCGTTATCTTCTGGCAGGTGTCGACTTCCTCTCGCCAAGGTGACGGCTTGTTATTTAGAAGCTGATCCCCCCCTTCTTTCCTTTGCCGAATCATTCTGTATTTCTCCTGTGCCGCCTCTCCTTCACCCCTTCCTGGCTCCCCCCCCACCCCAGCCGCTGCAAATGTAGTCCTGCTCCCTGTTTGCATTATTCTTTTAATAATTTTGGCCCGTCGCTGGCATCCTGTTGACAGGCACAAAGCCAAAGATTTGCCAGTAATGGGCCAACTATGGAGACGAGATCAGCGGCTTTGTTATCCGACTGCCTGTCTGCGCGGAAAATCCCGGCCGGCTCCACGCAAAGTGTGTCGTTGCTGTGCTCACACCCTCCCTCTCTCTCTCTCTCTCTCTCTCTCTCTCCCTTTCTCTTTTTTTGAGCAGTGGTGGAGGGTGATTTGATCAAGCTTTTATTTGTGCTCTGGTAGCACAAGCCTCCCACTGTGGAATGTGTGTGTGTGTGTGTGTGTGTGTGTGTGTGTGTGTGTGTGTGCTTGAGTGCACATGTGAGAGACTTTTAGAAGGTTTCTTGTCACCTGCCATTTTGGAAGGAATGGGAAATGAAGCTTAAATGGTCAAGTGACATGGAAACTAGGAGTTTATATTTTTGTTTATATATGTATTTTCTTTATGCTTGTCCTGCCTTTGATTGATTGATTGGACTTGCTCTCTCACAGCAGTGGGGACTTCGCTGCTCTGGCCTGATTTGCCTTTCTTTCTGTGCTAGGTGGCTATCCGGCTTTTACGGGGCTGTTGCCTCCGCCCCCCCCAGCCCCCCGCCCCTCCCGGCACCACATGAGCTGTGTTAGTGGGGGCTGCATGCGGTTCTGTGCATGAATATAAAAGCAGGCCCTGATTGCAAGGCTCGCCCAGATGAAAGGGAGAGGAAATCAAATAAATACTCACAGTGGTTCGTTTTAGCCGGGTGATTCGGCCTCTCCGCCGGGCAAAACCCATCGGCGCCTTGGCTGCCCCCCTCACCCCCCAGCTGCATATTTTAATGAGGCCCATTTAAGGTCCGTGCGCAAGACACCGCATCAAGATTAATTGGAGCCGTGACAATGAGGTTCGGTTCCCTCTGAGAAAAAACAAAAGCCTACTGAGAATATTTATTTATTTTATTTATTGTCAAGCGTTAAAAGCGAGGCTCCTCTGAATAAAATTAGCAGGCGCGGCTTTTCGGCAATGCTTTCCGGAGCAATCAGTGTCCAGAAGGGGCTTTAAGTGCATTTGCCTACCCGGGCAGCTCATCAGGGTCAATTAAAACAATTTTCGCTGGATTATGCTGGCGTGACAGATGTTCCCGCCGCTGACGTTGGAGGTTACACGCAGGCGTGTGCTTTGCATGCGTCGTCGCGGTGAGCTTCGTAACGCCTGTGTCAGATATGTTTTTATATAGATCCCTCTCCCTTTTTTGCCCGTTTTGTCGTTTCAAAATGAACTGTGTAATTCGGAGGTTGCCCTTTAGTTCCTGCCAGGCAACGTGTCCTCAGGTGTACCGTAGACTTCGGCGGTATCTAATTTTTCACATCGTCCTGCAGTATATGGTATTTTGATGGTATTATCAAAAGCAATGCTATTCTAGTATTTCGGTAAAAATTCTCAGAGGCATGAATTTTGCCGGCTACTAATTTTCTCGCCAAGATTTCAAAATATCGCGCCATGCCCTAAAGACCGCACTATACGTGAAATATTACCGTAATATCACACAAGGCTACTGTAAATTCTCTGCAGTGAGGTCTGCCCAGGCGTATTAGTGGTAAGGAAGCAAGCGGGAGGCAGAACGAGATGCCGTTGTCCAGCTAAGCGGCTTTGTCTTATTGCCAGCCTTCTGTAATCATGGAATAAAGTCACCTGACCATAGCCACCTTAGAGGTCTTGGGGACTGTAGAGGATCCTGTAACTCAGGGGTGAGGAACCTGATTCACGGAGGGTCGGTGTGGGTGCGGGTTTTTGACATTGACCAGTAACAGTGGGTCTCCAAGACTGCAGCTTTGTTATAGGCTGATTCAGAAGCCAACCCAGAAACCTGCACCCACACTGGCCCTCTGCGCCCTGAACCTCCCGGGGGGGGGAGGGGGAGGGAGATGACCGTCTGGTTATTGGGCCCCAGCTTTCACACATCACCTTCTGTCTTTCTCTTTGTCTCACTTTTTTTTTATTTTTGTGTCTTATCTTCTGCTCATGTGCAAAAATGTAAAGTCTGTGCTTGTTTGACAGCAATTAGGGAAATTTTCTGAATTTAATTCGAATGTCTGAGATATTGACCTAATCACTGACTTTGTAGGATACTCTGTAAGAAAACAAATCGTATCATGGAAATGATATATTTGGAAATTTATATAGGAATTAAAGGTATATGTGAGTTGTCATGGAGTGGTATAATAGGAGGAAGGTGAGTGGGGTTTGAAAAGGTGTGCGGCTATTGTTTTTTGGGAATAACTCTGTAGCTGAAGGCGCTCCTCTTGTCTGCCCATAAGACGGTGTGTCGAGAGCTGGTGCCGCCCTCTTCAACGAGCTCAGGAACGCCGTCTTCGGGAAGGTAGCCCAGAGCTCCATCCGGAGGATTGCCAAGAATGTCTTCCTGCACCTCCACAACCTGGACTTAAACTTTCACCTGAGCCGCCAGACGGGGGCGCTGTCCAAGGCCATTGACAGGGGGACGCGGGGCATCAGCTTCGTGTTGAGTGCCTTGGTCTTCAACCTGGGGCCCACAGTCTTTGAAATGGCCCTCGTCAGTGGCATCTTGGTAAGACAGCAGTTTTGTGACGTTATTAGTAGCGTTATTGGGTTACTAATTAACGTGAAAGCTTCAGTCCGTCAGCTCGTTACAACAAATTGCAATAGTGATGCTCCAGAAGAAAGTGTTGAAAAAATGTTTAGCTCAACATGTTAAATTTTCAACTTCATAAATTTGTTCCTATCTAAAAACAAATCAATCCCTTATTTGAGTGTCAGCTTGATTGTGGTTGTAATTTTACATAATCTGTTATACGTTAACTGTGTGAAGCAGGCTGTTTCAGAAAATTCTATCCTTTCCGCCAAATTTTGATATTTTCAGCTCTCGTTTTCCCGAGACACTTAACTTCATACTACACTGATGTCTGATATCCTCACAGTTTGCTGAAGAATTCTGTCCAAGACGCTGGTCTGTTTTTCGTATTACAATTTCGTTGCAACACTGGGGGAAAGAAAAGTTTAGGATCGTGATCTTTTGTTATGGCGTTGTTTTTCCTATCGTATTTCCATGCCCTTCAGGGGAGCAGATATTTTGAGAAGAATATAAAGCATGTGTCAAGGAAGGGCAGAACTGGTAGAGTCCTGTCCAGTCAGCTAAGTTTTCAGAAGCCTCCTGAAGTAGATATTACCTGGAAACAACTTGGCTGATGCCAGTCAGGATTTCATTAAACGCTGGCTTTTTTCGCTAGCTTTTGGTATTTTTTTTCTCCACTCTCCAGTTTACGAGTTCCAGTGACCGTAACACTTTAACAGAGAGGCATTTTTGAAAACGTCAAAGCCCTACATTACAAAAAGAGGACCAGGGGCCTGTTGGAAATGGTTTGGCCTGTGGCGTTTGTTCATTCAATTTGTTGGGGTTCTGTTTTAACGTTGAACGTTCAAAACGTCACTGGCTGACCCAACAGATGAACGGTCATGTGACCACTATACCGTTAATTTATCTTCTAATGGCACTTAGCGAACTTACTCTGGCTTGTAGACAGTTAGCATGTCCCCGTCTGCCAGCGTATTACTTTACTGTTATCTGGTGTCTTCTGGCTCTTCTCCATGTGTTTCCCTAACGCCGAATAACAGTGTACACTGATCTGTCTGTCCCTGATGCCTTTCCTAACTCGTCTAAAGCTGACATTTAATGTTGCGGCTAAATCACTGTTAGGCAGCTGCGTTGCGAAGGGCGCTTTATAAAACACGCCCCGACCGCATCTGTCTGAATTTAGCAGAAATCTGGTTACGCAGCGAGTGCAGGCAGAGATGTTTATCGGTGGCTTTTTCACGGCGGCTTAAGTTTCATACCTGCGGCACCTTCAGAATGCTGGGGGAAAAATCTCCGAACGGGGCTCAGCCGTCAGGGAGACGGGAACGTTTGATTTGTCGCTAGATGCTTTAGTTCTTTAAATACATCGCGTTCCTTGCCCAGAGAGAACGGGAAAATAGTCCACATTTTGCACTGATTCTTGATAAAGCCTGATAATTCTCCCAATACGTCCTAGACCCCCCCCCCAGCCCCCAGCCCACTCCACCCTAGTTTTAATTAGGAGATTTCAATTATCATAGAAGTGTAGTTACATAAGACAGTGTTACTTAAAACTGCTGTTATAGAAATTGAGTGCCAGTGGTGACATTTTCAGGAACTGCTGATCACCAGTTGCCTTTGTGAGTATTTTCCTTTCTCAAAGAAGCCCTGTTTTTTATCCTTTTGTCAGTATTACAAGTGTGGAGGCCAGTTTGCGTTGGTGACGTTGGGAACACTGTCTGCATACACGGCCTTCACCATCGCGTTCACGCAGTGGAGGTACGCTGGCTGGCATTCTCTGTGTGTGTCTACCTCAGTGTGTATGTGTCCCTTGCCTGTCATTCTGTGCCCCCGTGTAGGTGGGGGTGGGGGGGCATGACGGACTTGCGTCATTCTGTTGGTCGTTATTCCTCTTCCACAGAACCCGCTTCAGGATAGAAATGAACAAAGCAGACAATGAGGCCGGAAACGCAGCCATCGACTCCCTCCTGAATTATGAGACTGTGAAGGTGAGCTCCCCCCCCAGCCTCTCCTCTGTCCTCTCCGTCCCCCCCCCCCACAAGGTCTCTTACCGTTAGCAGGGTGGTATTTTTTTCTTCTTTAATTTGGATGGGGGCTGAGGTGATAAGCCTCATCCCTTCGTTGGTCTAACGCAGGAAGCTTTTGAAGACGCAGCCATCCTGCATTTGTAATTGCCCCCCCCCCCTCCCCTCCTTCCCAGGAAATTAAAGAACTGAAAACTACTTAATATGCGTTTCAGTGCTGGCTGCTGACATTTTGAAATAACGCGGTACGTTTCCTCGGTGCGCCCGCTTTCGAGATGCGCCCCCCCCCCCCCCCCCCCACCCTTGCAGCGACCATCTTGTTTTCATGGGGTTCCTTTCATTCCTAGCCGCAGATGTGGTTCCTTGCGCGGCTTATTTTAGCATCACTGTAAGCCGGCGTGCATATTTAATTGGATCCCCCTCCCACTCGAGATCCGCCTCGGCCGCACAAAGGCCTCCCCCGCGCCCCTGTGCCAGATGCGCCGGCACAGCGCCCTCGTCTGAGCTCCGCCTCGGCCGCTCTGCCTCCACGGCCGTTTGATGGATTTCCGCGTTTTTGCGGAAATGCGCCACATTCGAATATCTGCAGGACTGGAAGGCCAAATCTTTTTTTTTTTTTTTTTTTTGTAAATGTTTCTCATGCAGAAATGACTTTGACATCCACACAAATTTAAGACCTGAAATATGTCCCATTTAAATGTGTCCTCAACTTTATATCATGTTTGGGGAAATTTTGTTGCTTCACATCTTTTTTAAGGTTAAGTGTTGCATTTACTTGACCTTTGACCCACGTGTCCCTGACCATTACGCAACCCTTGCTGCCTCAGGTCTGGGTCAGATCTGTTCCGCTAGCATCCCTGGGCAGAGAATTGGCGCTTTCCTCAGACTCTCCATTTGTGTTCCAGATATTTCTGTACAGGTCCGCTGTACATTAAATACCATGAAGCGAACCTTTTTCAGCTTCTAATCGACCCCCCCGACCTCGCTGGGCTGTTTCCCATGATGCTGCGAACAGGTTAACGTTAAGAACAAAATGTGTTGAAATTTATGGCTGCCAGCCTCCAATCATGATCCATGCAGTGGAAAAAAAAAAATCATAAAAGTTAGTAAGAGGTGCAGTGTGACTAATCTCAGTATAAAAAGGCTGGTTTATTTCTGTTTTTTTTTTTTGTTTTTTTTTTTATAAATTGTCAGGCTGTCCTGTCCTGGGGTAAGATCTCATGGTGCATGAATGCCGTTGCACCCATCTGTAACCACGGCGATGCCAACTGTGACACGTGTTGTTTCTTTTCTGCGCCGCTCTCCCTCCCCCGCTCGTACTCTGTGGATGCCGAGCCTCCTGCCTGGACCGGCCTGTCTGTCCTGGAGAGGGCGCTCTTTCACGATGACGCCCCCCCCCACCCCGTTCTGCTTCTAAATGTGATGCGGACACGGCCGCATGCCTCACTGCCTCTAGGTGCACGTGGGGACAGAGGCAGCCATTCCTCACGTCAGAGCTGTGCCCCTGCCGAAGTAGCTACCATCTCTGGTCTCCCGCCAGCCGTGTTTCGTCGGGGGGGGGGGGGAAAAAAAAAAAACTCAATAACTACCCGAAAGCTCCTGCAAACAAATACAGGCAGGTAAATTAATCTATATAGTCTGCAAACTGCCACCTAGAAAGAGATTTTTTTTTATATCATAACAATTTCATTATGCGTGGGGAAAATCTCGAGTATATGTTTGTGTAAATTAATATCAGTAGGTGATTACTTGTAATGTTCCCTCGGCGTTCAACATTATTGGAAATCTGCACACGCCTTCTGCTCAAAACAGAAATATGGTCAGATATAGAAACAGAGGCGCTGGCTTTCTTTCTAAAAACACTTCCCACCGAAGAAGGCTTGGCAGATTACTTTCTTCGATAATTTCTCCTGCACGGAGGATGGCCGGGGGTGGGGGGGCGGGGCGGGCGTGTGTCCAGGAAAGCCTCAAACAGCGGTGTCACGTGGGGGCTTCTGTCCCATTCCGAGCATGTACATCTCTCTAGGGCATCTTAAAAGCCTGCGAATTGAACAACTCAATCGCCGAACACTCCTCGCGCCGGAGGGAGCCGGAGGGAATTAGGATTTAAGCCACGGTATCTCTCGCTGCAGGTTGAACCGTTTTTTTTTTATATTTTATTTTTCGCTGAATTTTGACAATGCATGTGCTTTTCTGCCTCCCTTCCCCCACCACCGCAAACCCAAACGCCCCCTACTGGCGCCATCCAGTATTTCAACAATGAGAAGTATGAAGCCGAGCGCTACGACGGCTTCCTGAAGACGTACGAGTCCGCCTCCCTGAAGACCACCTCCACACTGGCCATGCTCAACTTTGGGCAGAACGCCATCTTCAGCGTGGGCCTGACCTCCGTCATGGTGTTGGCCAGCAAAGGCATCTTGGCGGGTGAGTGCGCCCTCACAGCGCTGCTCTAGGCATGTAGCCTTAGTACGGTTTGTGTAGCATTAGCAATTTCATGGACAGTGCCTCCAGGCAGTATAGTATAGTTACAGTCTGCCTTGTGATTGGCTACCCGTGAGCGATCACCGTCGAATTAACTTGCAGCATCACACACCCTGTTCTTTCTGACCTCAGAGGCAAATCAACACCAATCACGTAAAGGTTTGGGCCACCTGTGCTTCTTTCAGGGACCATGACCGTGGGCGACCTGGTGATGGTCAACGGGCTGCTCTTCCAGCTTTCCATGCCTCTGAACTTCCTGGGCACGGTGTATAGGGAGACCCGGCAGGCTCTCATCGACATGAACACACTCTTCACCCTGCTCAGCGTCGACACCAAGATCAAGGTAAAAGCCGACTGGGCCTCCTGATCGACGTGCCGCTGGGCCTTTATCTGTATAGGCTTCCCATTATCTGTAATGTGTCTAGGGGGGTGTACTGGATGTAATTAAAGCAGCTTTTGTTTGGAAACAGCATCTTGTGTCAAGTGGAGTAAGAGTGTTGGTGCTTTGGTTTCATTCGAGATGTCGGCCGCTTCTCCGGAGATATCTGAAAGTATTAAAAAAAAAAAAAAAAGAGCAAGTTTCTGTGATGTTCCCGGACACCCCTGCAATCATGACACCAGAGTCCGCCGTTGTTCCTCCTCATCCCGACTGCTTCCAATGTTCTTTGCCCTTTTTCTGCCAAAAATAGGTATTTGGGTGTGCCGCAAGTGGGCTCGCTTAATCCGAGTCCTGTTATGACTGTTGATTAGTGGCCCATTGGCGAATGAAACCGGGAATGCCTAGCAATCTGTGCATCTGCGACCGGGGAAAGAAGTGTATGACTTTGCTGGTTATGATCACCCCAAAGGTTGGTGTGAGGTGGCTTAGGCCTCTGTGTCTAATTGGAAGGTTGCCAGTTCAAATCCCATCCTTGGCAGAATAGTCACATCTGTGTTGGGCCCTTCAGCAAGGCCCTTAACACCTGATTCCTTCATGAGCACCAGATAAATTTCTGACCCTGCGCTTGGAGCCCAAGCTGTTCTCTCACCTATAGGTGTCAGTGTCCGCAAAAAATCATTCCAGTGATCCTGAACTTGTGCAAATGCCAAATAAAGGCATGTTTATTTATATAGCAGGTTTTCAAACAAAGAGGTCATTCAAATTGCTTTACATAAAAGAAAATCAAGTAACCGGAATAATTAAATAAATATTAAAACAAAAAGTAAAAATGTAAGTGTAAAAGTTTTTAAAAATACATAAAAGATATAGAAAAGGCATCAATATTGGTTAATAATAATAATAATAATAATTATTATTATTATTATTATTATTATTATTATAGAAAAGGCATCAATATTGGTTAGCACTGCAATTCAAGGGCACTGTGGAATAGAAATGTATTGAGCCTGTTTTAAAAGTGGCAAGATTTGGTACATTTCTAACCTCTTTAGGGCTGACGTAAACTGGGCTGAAACCATTGAGTGACTTATAAACAAGCAGCAGCTCCTTGAACTGGATTCTAAAGGCAACTGGAAGCCATTGTTAGGAGTGAAGGACTGGAGTAATGCTCTTCTTGGTCCTAGTTAACATAATTGTGGCAGCATTTTGGATAAGCTGGAGATGTCTCCAGGGAAGGCCATACAGGACCGTGTTGCAGTAGTCCAATCAACCAGTGATGGAGGCATGAATACGTTTTTCAAGGTCATGCTTCTATATTAGTCTGCTGATTTTAGAGATGCTCCTCAGCTGATAGACGGAGGACTTAGTTATGGCCTTAATATGGATGTAGAAACTAAGGTCCTCATAAATTAGGTTGCCTAGATTTCTTAGACTTAAAGTAGGCACTAACCTATAGTCGTTCCTCTCTCTTCCCAAAAACCTCAGTTTTCTCTTCGTTGAGTTGGAGGGAATTGTGCTTCATCCAGCGATTTAACTTGCTCAAGATGCTGACGTAGGGGGTCCATGCAGCCAAAATCATTGGGCGATAGAGCCAGGTAGATCTGTGTATCATCCGCATAACCCGCATTGTTATTTTGTAGAATTTAATGTAAAGGAAGCATATAGAGGTTGAATGAGAGGGGCCCTAGTATAGATCCTTGGGGGACTCTGCAATGAATGAGTGTCCATCTTGATATATAATTGCTAATTTCAACATTACAACCTCTTCCCTCTAGGATCACCATCCGGTTAATTTCAGTTCACTGAAGTATCTATCTGGTATATAATCTACTGTCAGGGTTCCCAACCTTCTGATGTCCATGGACACACGATAAAGTTTGTTGAGTGTAGAGACATATAAAATATGTTGGGAACTCGTGGATCACAGCTTTTTCTTTTTCAAAATGAGATCCCATAATATATGGGATGGTTGGCAACTCCACGCCCAGTGTTCCGCAGTTCAGTGGAACAATGGGCACGGAGCGGTGCTGGTTCGAGGGTTGGGAACTCCTAATCTAGTGGCCTATTGTCATGAAAGGTGGAGGTAAGGGCTGCTGGTGGCTGGCTGCCCGCGAGTCTCTTTCTGCCTGATGAGGCTAACTTTTCACGTGGCTGCTTTAGGTGCGACCACTAATCACTGTTATTAAAATCTGTCCAATTGTTTCCAGCGAGTGGTAATGGTGTCCATTGTGGTTCCCAGCGTGACGGTTCCATCTCGTCAGGCTCTCGCTGACCCTTTGATGCGATTTTGAATTAATGCTGGTGTAAAATGAGCTTAAGTCCCCGGTGTCCCATGGTACTGCATCTCCAACCCCTCCCGGGGTTTGCGGCCACCTGCCGCGGGTTACCTGGCTGTCTGACCGGACCCCGTCTGCCGCCCCTCTGTGTGGCAGGACAAGGCGCTGGCCCCCCCGTTGCTGGTGACACCCCGGGAGGCCACCATCCGCTTCGAGGACGTGCACTTCGAGTACCTGGAGGGCCAGAAGGTTCTCGACGGGGTGTCTTTTGAAGTGCCCGCGGGAAAGAAGGTGGCCATCGTTGGCGGCAGCGGCTCAGGGTGAGTGCGGGCATGACGTCGCCATTAAAGGCTTTCATCTCCGCATCAAAAAAAAAAAAAAGTCGTATTACCCCTCTTGAGTGCCCCGAGTTCTTTCTGCAATCCTGTCCTTTTGTGTGTGAGCAGTCGTAGGGCAAAATGCAGACCCTTGCCCTTCATATAACTAACCCCGCCCTGCCAGATAAGTTTGTCACACATTTTAAAGACCCTTTTCCTTTAAAGACACTTTACCTTTAAGCACTCCTGTGGTGAGCCCTGCTTGTTACCCCTCACGGGCCTTGGGGATCGATAAGCCATTCGTGCAGTGTCATTATTCCTTGTGTTCAGAGAGACTTGGTTCAGCCCAATCCGTATTGCCATTCACTGGTCTGAATGACACCTCCATTGTGTGTTAAGTGTATTTTTTTGTTTGTTGTTTCTTTTGTGCATTTCCCTAACCTGTGGCCCTTTAATGTCCGTACACGCCCCGTCTTTTCTAGAAAGAGCACCATCGTGAGGATGCTCTTTCGCTTCTACGAGCCCCAGAAGGGCACCATCTACGTGGCAGGTCAGAACATCCGCGACGTGGGTCTGGAAAGCCTGAGGAAGGCCGTGGGGGTCGTACCACAGGTCGGTGACCCGCGGGGGAGGTTTCATGTCTTCCTCAGAGCTTCCATGAAGAAAATCAGTGAGGCTTTTGGGCTCTGTTTTAGGCCAGGCTGGCTTTGCCATGTTAGGCTTTAGGACCTGATATGGATGGATGATGGATGTAAGGAAGGAAGGAAACGGGTAGTCTTCTGCTTCTAACCCGTCTGTCCGGCTCTCCTTTCTCACAGGATGCCGTCCTGTTCCACAACACTATCTTCTACAACCTGCAGTACGGCAATATTCATGCCTCTGACGACGACGTCTACAACGTAGCCAGGCTGGCAGGCATTCACGATGCCATCTTAAGAATGCCCCACGGGTACAACACCCAGGTGGGGGAGCGAGGTCTCAAACTGTCAGGTACGTGGGGGCTCATCTGTCAGCGGTTCAGCCACACTGATGTGAAGGCATCCTCTCCAAAGGAGGGCGGCGTGTGGCTCAGCAAGTTAGGATGCCAGTGATCAGAAGGTCGCTGGTTCAAATCCCTGAGTCAGCAGAGTGATTTCACCGTTGGACCCTAGAGCAAGGCCCTACACCCTCTATCACTGCCTCGATTGCTTGACCCTGCTCTCACTCAGAAATGTACATCGCATCGGATAAAAGCTTTTGCTAAATAATTAAAATGTAAATGTAATGGGTGGCGTTAGACTCGGTCGTCTCCCGTATTCGGCTCTCAGATGTGATTTGTAACACAAAGTAAAACATAAATTAGACTCAATTTCTCAGCTATAGCTTATTATGTAGTGTGGGGCAAAAAAATTAAATGAACGTGTTCTTCCCTTGGAGGAAACTGCAGCTAGAATAAATTAAAAGTTTCATCTCCCATCAGGAGTCCGTTCCGTGCGCGCTGGCTGTGATCGCTGCCCGGCTGGAGCTCGCTGTACGGTTCAGGAGGAGGCCAAGCGGGTCGTGACCCCTGTCCTCCGCAGGGGCTATTTATATCCGCTGGCGGCAGGCGGGCTCTGTCAGCAGACGCCGCCGCGGCCCGCGGCTCACCTGCCGCCCCGCCGAGCACCTGTCGCTTGTTAACGGCAGAAGCGGAGGCACCACCGATTACGATTCGGCCCTCGATCAGACGCGCTATGCTCTAGAGAACAGAGAGGCATCAGGGTTCGTCTGCAGAGGATGGCCCCTCTGAATCGCAGAACGGCGCTAACTTTAGAAGATTCTGAAACCATGGAGGTTTCCGGAAACGGCCGTGGATTCTGGGGGGGCTGACGGTGCGTTTCGCCTCCTGCAGGCGGAGAGAAGCAGCGCGTGGCCATCGCACGGGCCATCCTGAAGAACCCGCCTATCCTGCTGTACGACGAGGCAACGTCTTCGCTGGACTCCATCACCGAGGAGGTGAGTGGGGGCCGCTCTTCCTCTTGGTGGGGGGGTACCGTCCATCCCGCCCACCGGCGTTCCCAGACCTCGGGAGCCGCAGCGGGAGCTGGGATTCGGTCTCTCTCTGATATCTCAGCGAGGGAGTCGTTTGGCCATTCGTTAGGTGTCATAAGTGTGAATCGGGTGCTAATTAAATCGTATCCTGACCAGCAAATGGCGAGCCCCCAGTTTTGGCATCTTGTAGACATGGATACACTTAGTCCTAACTTGCAACTATATTTTAAGCTATTTTTTTCTTTAAAACGTTGATCTAAATAGATTTTCTCCAAGAATTATTGCCAAAGAGCTGTTTAAAAACATGACCCTGCTTCACCTCAGCACTGTAATGGGGAGAAAATGCAGGAAATTTGATGATGGAAAATTTTAAGCCCTTCTGATCATCTTGAAAGATGAAAAATTACACAAACGGAAACCCTGGGTACAATTTTATTAAAGTTATTGCCAAAACAAAACTTTATTTACTTAGTTAACTTAATCCCCCCCCCCCCTTTATTCTCAGAAGGCATTTTTCATATCTCTCCTGTCACTCACGGCTGTATTTGCTCTTGCCTTGGAACATTAAAGGTGCTTTGGGGTGTCTGAAGTCAGGATGCCGCTTATTAGATATTGCGCAAGAATACCACCAGGGGCAGCCGAACCCGGTCAAGGAACAATCCGGCGTTGTCGTACAGCCGTATTATTCGGCTCCCTCTAACTGGGCCTTCTGAGTCGGTGAGCGGCGGTGGATCGTTTTTCCGACGGCTGAAGCAGATTCTCCAAATAAAAATTTAAACTGCCGAGAGAGGAGAGGCTGTGTGATCTAGGGTCATTGTGTTTGCACAGGTATACATTGGGTTAGTGCTTATGAATTTTACGTCTTTTTTTTTTTTTTTATGACCTCTGTGTTCAGTATAAGGATTACGCTAAATGGGATTTTAGACTAGCAGTGTGATTCTGTTAGCATCCACTCTGATGGATTGCCGGAATTATTTTATTGTTGCTTTTTGCTATAATGTGGGAAGCTGAGATAAGGAGTTGGGCTTTATCTGAATATTCAATAGCTGTTGAATTATTGATTTATTTATTTTTGTAAGTTTGGGGTGGGGCTTGTGTTTAATAAGTAGTCACTGATCATTTGCCTTTAATTTAGATTCAGAAATAGATCAGCACCCAGCTCCTGAGCTCTAAATGAATCATGCCTTGTCACCAGTTGCCTGTTAGACCTTGAAATCCAATAGCGTAGAATTTGTTTGTGGATTTACAATGTAATTAAATCTAGTGCTGTTGGCCGTGAGGTAAATTGAGAACGGTGGGGTTTACCTGCATATGTCTGTCAGCTTTCCCTACTCTGAACTCGGTGATAAGCAGGTGTCTTCGATTTAAAAAAGGAAAGGTTCGGTGGGTATGTTTGATGTGTGGGAAAAGTATATATAAGTATAATATATAAGTAGATATTATTTTTTAAAAAACACAGCATATTTAAGGTAGCCTCCTTACAGTATGGCCTTGTTTCGTGAGTAAGAGACTGCAGATTAACTGGTAAGTGGTTAATAGGTACTGGTTTGAAAAGGAGCTTAGCTTCTATGCTAGTTTGGGGGGTAATACTGTAATCGGGGAGGCTAGGACAGTGACTCTACTCTTCCATTCTGTGACGGATTTCATTGTAACTCCTTCAGAACATTCTGAGCGCCATGAAGGAGATGGTGAAGGACAGGACCTCCATCTTCATCGCTCACAGATTGTCCACCATTGTGGACGCGGACGAGATTATTGTCCTGAATCAGGTACGAGCGACATCCCTGCCTGCCTAGATGTTTTGTGCTGTTGCGGAAGCCTGTGTGTGTGTTTTTTTTTTTTGAAAACGTCTTTCATCGTGTGTTTATACGTTGTTCACAAACAGAGCCTTTAATGATCAGATGCTGCTAATTCCACGCTTAGGTATCACCACACACGGTCTCTTCTGTTCCTCACATCAGGGGTTAATCACTAATTAATGTAGTCCTTGTTATTTTGTACTTTTTTCTCTTCCACATCTGCAATAAAGCTCAAAAAACCTCAAGAAGATGCCCCAAAGTCTATAAATATGTTGATTGGTAATTATATAATATTGGTTTGACATAATTGTATGCAGTAAATTTATTAGACCAATTAGGCAACTGTGGAATTGGCTAAAATGAAAATGAGCGCGTACTGTGCGCAGTGTGGCCCCTCCGTCTGACTCACCTCGCCCACCCCATCTGAAGTTCTGCCACCGAATTAATTCATTGGAATTCATTAGGAAGAGAGGGAGGGAGCGGGAATGTCCGAGTGGCTAGCATGTAGAGTGTGCCAGCCATGTCACCCCGCCGCCCCCCGGCCATAAGATCTGGAGGTACGCTAACCTGCCCCCCTTCCCCCAGAAGAGCTCACCCCCCCCAATGTGATTGCCGACGAGGCCCTGCGTGGCACATGTATAGCGAATTGAACACCCTGTTAGCATTAGCGCCTGCCACTCTGGGAGTGTGCATCACGTTACTGTTGGGAGATTGAGACTCCTGCTTTTTTTTTTTATTCATCGGGCTTGTGAGATACAGCCCTACGGCAGCCCAGCAAGATACAGAAGATGTTTGAAACCCCCCCCCCCCCCCCCAAAAAAAAAAAAAAACCCAAAGAAAAACAAAACACCATCCGTTTGATGACACGCATTAGCACCACTAATGTTAGCTGCGTTTGCGCAGTGAATGTTTTCGGTAGACTGGGACGAACCAGCCCCCCCATTTCAGGATTCAGTAACCGTGTTGGGCAGCCAGGGAGGCAGAAGCAGGCAGGCAGGCGGCTGCTCAGCCACCCGACGGGGGGGGGGGGGGGGGGAGCGTTACACACTCCGGGCTGAAGCCGCCTCTTGCGTCAGATGGTTCCCAGATCAAAAGTTCCCTGACAGGAGGCATTTGTGTGGCGGAGGCGCAGATGGGTGGGCCGGCCAGCACTCCGGGGGGGCTCATTAAAATAATGAGTGAAAGTAAACCCCCCCCCCCAATCCTGTCGTGCATGCGCACCGCCGACTGTGACACCTTTGTTTACTCCCCTCTGCTTGTACACCCTTTTCACTCCCGCCTGGCTGCGTGGGCGGGCGCAGAGGAGGCATGCACGCATCACGTGGTGGGGGGGGTGGGGGGGGGGGGGGGGGGGGGGGGGGGGGGCACAAGCACCAGCCATAGACTCACGGGGTGAGAAGGAGAGAGTGGGGTGGTGCAGGGAAGAGGAGCTGGGATGCTTTCGCCTTGGTGGGTCCTGCATCTTTTCTGCAGTCACGCACACTCTGCCCAGAGCCTCTACGCCCCCCACCCCAGATCTCGCTCAACACCCAAGAAGAACTCTAGTGCCTCCGCTCCCCTGGGTCTTCCTGGGTCCAGGTTTTAAGGTGCAGTCCTCCCAGGACTCCGTGCGCCGTTCCTATAAAGAGCTTTCAGTACCTGAATAGGGACAGACTCCTACCATCTCTGTGGAAAACATATTAGCGAAATATTAGTGACAACATGCCCCTTTTTGGACACCTCTGAGTGGATTGAGCATGAAGGAATTGTTCATACTTGGCACACCATCATGTCCGTGACATATATAGCAGGCACATGACCACGGGTTAGCCGCTAACAGGCTAATGGGAAGCATAAATCTGATTTATGTAAAATAGTGGCTAGTTAATCTGGTGCTGACAGAGCACTCCCCCTCCAACGCCCCCCCCCCCCTGATGGGCTGCAGCAGCGGTAGCCTTGTAGCAGGAGTTAGTGATGCTCCTCGGTGGGAGAATGCTTAACATCGATATCCTGAGGCCTTTTCCGGGCAGTGTGGCGAAGCGCTGGGCTCTTCTGAGCGACAGGCTTTGCCTTCGCTTTGCCAGCATTTCTGGGGAAATCGGTTTTGCTCTAATTAATCAGCTGGAAGTGGCGGGGCGCGAGCGTACGCCCCGACGGACAGGCATTCTTACATTTGTGGCGGTCTGGGCTTTTTCCCTCATCCCAGTTAGCTTTTAGCGTTAGCAGCGTGCTTTGCATAAGTGTTGTGGTGGGGAGGGGGGCTGAAGAATTGAGTAATTTTATATGGAAACACGGTTATTTCCTTAGGGGAGATTTCTAACCGAGGATTAATGGTGCAGCGATGCTGAGCTGGACGGAGGGTTCTTTGTTCACCTGTGTGGCCTGAACAACAAACATTCTTCCCTCCGGCAGAATCTGAATAATTCCGCATGCAGACCAGATGGGACAAGGTCAAAATGTCGTTTTTGTTATTGCCTATGGAACAGGCCTGTTGCTCTCGATAGAACAGTGCGAATTTGGATCCCACTCACCGGTTATCTGTCACGCATAGACGACTAAACGCATCCTTATCTGATATATGAATTTACATCTAATTGATGTTATTTATTATTTATGAGTTATTTTCAGTGGATTTTTAGTCTTGCATTGTGTGCATGAACAAAATAATATAAATATACTGTCCTCAGGGGGATTCACAGATTTACCTTCCGAATGCACATTCGAACCCGCTGCCCTTGAGGCATGACGTTCCTTGCTATGCCACCATGCATTTATTTGTATTGTCAATGGATGAATGTCACCTGGGACCCTACGACAAGCGTGTGACGGTGACGGGGCAGCTTTTGGCCCTCCTTACCCATAAGGCTTTGCGTTTCAGGGTAAGGTAGCAGAGCAGGGGACCCACCAGGAGCTGCTAGACAGGCCGGGCAGCCTGTATTCGGACCTGTGGAACACGCAGAACAGCCGGATCCTGAACAGCAAGGGGGAGACAGAGCTAAAGCAGGAGCGCCTGTCCAGGAAAGAGGAGGAGAGGAAGAAGCTACAGGAGGAGATTCTCAACAGCGTCAAGGGCTGTGGGAACTGCTCCTGCTGAGGGGCCTACTGACCAGTGACCTCTGACCTCTGAATGCAGAGGGCCATCCAGTTAGATATTCTTCTGGGGCTTTGCTGGCACGGGGGAACTCATTCCATCTCCTCCTCCTCACCACCTTCCCCGACTCCTCGTACTCACTCACTCTAATACTGGTATCCACCCGCACTTGGTTCTAGGGATGCAGCTCATTAAAGTGGGAAACTCAAGAGAGTGTCACTTTTTGACAGCTTTCTGTTTATATAAAAAAAATAAATACAAAAACTGTTCGCTGGTTCTCTCACCGACCGAAACCGAGCCTTTAACCTCCGCTGTTGGCATGTGAGAGACTCTCTTCAGGTCAAAAAAGATGCAAATTTAGCTTGAAGGTATTTTTAACCGCAAAGGGTGGCCTTGTTTAATCACCACTCTGCGGCCCCAAATCATCTTTCAATGGACAGCACCGTTATTTTCAAATGATTATCTTTCTCCTGTGTAATCGGGAACTCTTTTGATAGCTGTTTTTATTAAGTTTGTGTACATATCATAAGATCAAACCCATAGGATTCTGACATAAAAAGATGTTATTACTGACTACATTTCTGTTTCATGTAAATCTGGCTGTTATGAGGCAAATCCAGCACCGGTCAATGTTTCTTCGGTAAATAACTATCTCCTGCTGTTAAGTTTCGCGTGGTAGGCAGTGAGGACGGACACTCCTGCAGCAAATTTCTATATTTCGATGCAAACTGCTCTCCTGTCTGGACTGTACTCTAGGTTTCGTCTGGGGGGGGGGGGGGGGGCATACTTGCAGGGGGAGACTCACCTTGTCTTTGAGGACGTCAGCATCAAGAAGCTGGACTTGGAGAGACTGCAGATTCCGGGAACTTGGTTGCCTTGACATTCAGCTCTTGAATGTACGTCACATGTGCGGGATCAGCCGGCTATTTATACTTGCAGTGAAATGGATTTAGCAGAGCACCATAGGAGTGATCCTAGCTGCTTTGTAAAAATAACGATAACCAAAATTTCGGAAGCTTGGAGGACACATATGCTGGTCCTCTGGTGCAGCCTGAGCCCTAAAGAACGTCGGAGCCATCGCTGCGGAGTGTGCTCATTCCTCAGACACTAACAAAGTGTTAATTACACTATCAGCTGCTGCCAGAAGTGTATTTTTGCTCTTGCTTTGTGATAACGTGTTTGTAAATGTTTTCAGGTATCACATACACACACACACACAACCACCCCGATTCTGTTCAAACGTTGCGGTGAAGCGTATACCTGCTGGAAGGTCGGAAGAACCAGTTCTGTGCCACGTAGGGTTGCTTTTTTGGGTTGAACACGTATGTGAATGCACTGAAGAGAGTAGGAGAGAGATTCTGCCAATAATAAAACAGGCAGGTTCTGCGGCAAATATATAAATAAGTCAGTCAAAGTAGAGTCACTTTGTGTGGGACCCTCAGGCTCTGTTGGCTATGTGAGTGATGTGCCATCAGGCATTGTGATTTTAAACCGTTTTTCTCGACAGATTGTCCCAGGAGGACCAAGATATGAATCCTATTGTGATGGCCTATTGCAGTCTGGGGTAGTGGCAGGATGACATTAAACTTGTTGACTCCGTTTAGAGAGGATGTTCTGGTCGGTACCTTTATTGCATGTGTCTTCTGTGCAGAGATTCGGGCCAGTAACTGGTAGGCTGGTCCTAAGCTTGTATCCTTGCATAAAATACCCCGAAACCTACGGTCCCCTCCTGGCCTGTTTCCATGTCCTTATTTACTGATGTGGTTTCCAATGTATTAGGCATCTTGATACATGCAGGATTTTAGCCCACTTCCACTGTTACCCAGTTCAAATTCAAACAGCCAATCAGATGGATCAGGACAGCCCACACATGAGGGCTTTTATAGGTCATGAAACCATACTTAATGAAACCAGTGGGATTAGTCCAAGCACATTTTAAACAGTGCAGATGTAAGCGTGGCAAAAATTAATAATCATCAGTGGCTATGTATAATTGTTTAAATTATTTTCCTATTAAAGGCCAGTCTTATTGTCCACCAATCAGCTCTGCAAATTGATATATATTTTTGTTTGGGAAGGTCCTAAACGTAAAAGTCAATATGCTTCACCTGACCTGTTGTTTCACTGGTGGTATTAATTGCAATACAATTCTTTGAATATGTGGGTAGACTCAAGCACTGAACTGTTCACCATGATACGTAGAAATGACTAACAAGGCCATTTTTTTTCTGGTGAAGTCTGACTAATGACCTTAGAGGTCATGTTTGTGTACCGGGTATAGAATTGGCCAGTAAGGATTCCGGTCTTATCCCATGTACAGTATACACACAGGCACACTGAAAATCACACAAAACTAGCTCTGTAAATATATGCTGTGATTATCAGCTTATCAGCAATCTCTAAAATAATTTACTTCAGCTGTTTCCATTGTTATATCTGGGGGGGAGATTGAGTATTGATGGTGTTTGTGTCACAAATTATTATTTTTTGTTTACAAGTTCCAAGATGAGGCCACTTTAAGTTAACTTCAGTCACAAAAGTCCAGTTGTTTTCCCCTTAATTTCTCAGGGTGCTTTTTACCAAAAAACGAAACAGATTTAATAGTCATCAATCAGCTTCGTTGCATGATGATAATCTTTATTTCGTGCCTTAAAACTTGTGTGACGTCAAAGTCCAGCATGAACCCACTCATCGGAGGCCGAAATGTAACAAACTAACTGCTGTCCCTTGTGGCTCAGTGGCACCCTGGTGGTCCGTCCTCCCCCTGTACGTCATGGTGCGCCAATGGAACCCGAAGGCTTTAGAAACCGGCGTATGCCTGTAGCTGCATCCATCTCCACGTCTGCTGGAATGCAAGCGTGGAGAGTTAAATGAAGTGCACCAGCCACAGATGTCCACAGCGCCAGCTTCTGGTCCGCCGTCTCTCTGGGTTTGCTGCGGGAGTTCAGTCGGTAATGAGGTGACCTCCCTCTGTTTACTAGAATAAATCCCTCAAGCGCACAGAGAATCGCACAAAAACCCGGTAATAAGATCGGCGACGCTGGTCGACGGTAGGGGAGGAAGCTTGGACCTAAACCAATGTTTTCAGATGCTGATCATCAAAAGAGGAAATGGCATTTTTATAAGACAAGTGTGGTGTTGCGTATAATCCATTTCCTGCTAAATCCCGAAGAAGAGAAAAGACGTCAGGTCACGAAAACTTGCGGATTATATCAGTGCGATAATCCCCAAGGCCGTACGCCCATGGATGCACAATGAAGGACTGATGAAGGTTTGATTTTTTTCGTCATAATCACATCTGAGAGTGAAGACCAAGGTTTTTTTTTATATCCTGGACCCAGACAGAAGAAAAGCTTATTATCATTGCTTTGCAGAAAGGAGACGATGATATAGTACGAATGTGAGTTTTAGTCCCTCTCAACAGTTTGCAGTTGGAGTCACTGACCCATGATGCTGACCGTGGTGTGCTAGTACATATTGAATACTGGTTATACCACGCTGGAGATGCATTGGGGGTGGGATCTCCATCCTTCTCGCATCTTCCCATTACAGGTCAGGTAAAGATTATCTTTTCTTGGTGATGCTACTGTAGGAAGACTAATACCTGAAGATGACCATGAAAATGTACCTGAAGAGGTCCTGCAGCATAAAGCACCCTGCCCAAGGTTCTCCTATGCATAAGAATTATCATCATCTCTGTCAAACATGACTGTATGGCTTATGAAGATATTTGAGTATTCAGGCTGCCTGTCCCAAACTGCGGGGAAGGCCACGATTTCTCAGAAATTCAGGTGGAGCTCTTACAATTTTTATAGGTATCAGTCAGTAATGGTAACATGAAAAAAGCTACATCCAGAAAGTGCAGTTGTTGCTCAAGTTTATATACTGCAACATTAGTATTCTTGTCATCTGCCTTGCCATGCTGTCATGTTTGGCTGCCAAACACCTGAACGTAAGTGGTGCTGTGTTTTGTTAATACTTGGATGGGAGACTTTTGGCAAGACCGAGTTGCTGTCTATCCGGTTTGTTGCGATGTAAATCTATGGTTGTGGGCTACCATGGCCTTTGCAGATCCCATGGCATCAGATGAGAAGAGGTGGTACAGTCTATGCAAAAAGAAAAATCTCTTCAGCTCTAAACTCACTGTAGGCTATAAATGGGGGTGTCAGGGGGGTTGGGTTATGCAAAAATGGATGCATCACCCAGCTGTGAGTTGCGTTTTGGTGATGGATGAAGTGAGTCACTCAAACCCAAAAACCACGTGAAGTGTGTAAATGCACGCTGTTAATATGTGATCTTTAAAGTCAGATAACTGTAAAATAAACTGTTGTAATGACTTCGAACAACAAACTACAGATTCACGATTCAGGCAATTAATTATCGTATGTGTGGTGCCTACACGATGACATTCTTAGTTTGTGCTGCAAAAAAGAAAACAAAAAAGAAAATCGAGCAGTAGGTAACGATATTATATGTGTATCTGCCAGTTGTCCATCCATTTTCCATAATTGTGTGTGTATATAAATATACACATACATATGAATCATAAATATACGCTGCATTTCACTGTATATATATGATAAATGAAATTCTGGAGTTGATTTAATATCCACCATATATATAAAATATTCAAGTTAGCTAAATACAGGAAGCTAAATGCATGTTGCTCCTCTCTCATGTCCCTTCTCAGTAGCATCTTTGTTCTACCTGCTATACCTTGTAAACATCCAGGTGTGGCATTAAACATCTAGTAAAGGTCACGTGACTGCTTCCAGCTATGTGCTAATGCTGCTGTGAATTCTAGTGTGTTCGGAGCAGAGGTTCCGGACATCTGGGAGACTCGCCTGTGTGTGTCTGATGAGACAGTCTCTGAGCTTGTTAGACATGGTGTGGAGAGTGGGAGTCGTGTCATCATGCACAGCACCAAATATTCAACTTAAAAGGCGACTGAAAATGAGAATATCTGAGGCCTTCACCTGCATTTTGACACTGTAGAGTATGATTGGCAGGATTCCCAAGTTTTTGAAAGGCTGTGGTATTCGCCAGTTGTCCATCCATTTTCCATAATTGCTTGTATAATTTAAGCTTTTTTTTTTCCCTGAGTCAATCCCGTAAGGAGTGGAGAGGCAGGGCATACCCTGGGTGAGATGCCAGGCCATTACAGACCTCATTCACAGGACACAAGGACTCACCTACCTCTCACAAACATGGGGAGAACATGCAAGTTCCGCACACACGCAAAGCTGGGAACCAAGCCCACAGCCCGGGAGGTGTGAGACCACGATGATAGCCACTGAGCCACCGAGCCACCTTCCTCCAATTATGGTTTGGCATAATACTGTTTAGGCGGACACATTACTAAGGGGTGAGCATTCTGCTCCGGCCACTTTGTAAGGGCCTTCTAGGGCTATGTTTACAGGCCTGTAAATTGTCAGTCCCCACTCAGCACCCAGATAAGTATGGCATTGCTCAACTGTATGGCAAGAATATGTATCGCAAGGGTTCATGTGGACACAGTCGATGCTGTGTGACAGTTAAAATGGTAGGAAAATATGGAAAATTGTTTGTAGTGTCATCTTGACAGTAAAAGGAGCCTACTGGAATGAGTAAAGTACATCAAGTATACGTCCCCTTTTACAATAGATCATCTTCTTTCTGAGTTTATCTGTTTTGTTTACTGACGGGAGTAGTTTATACTCTGGGCGATTCAAATCGTATTTGCCGCAAAGGTGAAAAAATGCGGCTTTCTTTGCAGACGAGGAATGTCGTGGTAGCCGGGAGTGGTGAGGCAGGACTGTGATTTGTGCAGTGGTGGGAAAAGTGGTAGATTCTTCGTTAAACTTAACCGAGTATATGTGGTGATCTGCTGCTGGAAGAAGAAGAAGAAGAAAAAAAACTAAATTGTCTAAATGAGTATTTGATTAACACTGCATTCAGGTCTGAAGGGTTCTAAGCACCCGCATCAATTACTGTTTTTTCTCTTCACATTGCTACTGACCTCATAACCCTTTCATCACATTGAAAAGGTATTTTTAAAACCTGTTTGGTTGCAATTTGTGTTACTATGGCGATCACTTATACTCTGTGGCTCTCAACCAAGTGTGAAATGGGACTCATGAAATTACTGGTTATCATTTATACACAAGGCAAGGTACATACACTGCTGATCTCCTAACCTTCCCTTTGTTGCCGATGTTTGGTTTAGGTTATACCTCTTGATTACTTCAAGTGAATTGTTGATGTTGCTGTTTTATAGATTCGGCATGAGTCCGCTGGAGGTTACAAGCATGAAAACAATATCTCCTGAGCAGTTGCTCTGTATGTGAGCCGTCTGTACTGCTCGTGGTCCTGTGAAGCCATTCCTGAATCCTCACTTTACCAGACTTTCTCCAAATAGACGAGAGCGGCGCTGAGAGCGGCGTGTTTCTTGGTAGCTCAGTGGGGACGCACCCCGCGGTCTCCATGGAAAACGTATTAGCACATAGAGTGAAAAATATCGCTCTCCAGATACCTTTCTGATTAATTAATCTTTAATGAATCTTTCACATACTGTAAGTAGTTCTAAGCGTGGGAGAGCGTCGTGTATCGTACAGGACTGGCAGGCCCCATCACAATCGTGTGAGGAGTATAATTATAGCATGTCTCACAATATTTTTTTTAAGACTGAACTAACAGCTATTTCCCATGACAAGCTGTTTTTAACATAAGATAAACACCAGAAAAATACAAATACCTATATGTTAACTAATGCTTTGTTATACAGTGAGTAAATGCATTCAGCATCATAATAAATATCCACATTTACCACAATTTATGTCAATTCTAAGTCACTTACCAACAAACGTTAAAATTGATGGAAATCGCAATTAAGTTAATTTATTACACTACTCGTTTATCTGTTATCATGACAGCTCAGTATCTTGCTGCGTAGCTAGTTACCACCCAACAACAAAAAGATTTTTTTTTAATTGGATTATTAATTGGCTGTCCTTTTAAGCTGACAATGAGGAGGAGGCAGAAGGAAAAAATAGAACTTAAGAGAAAAAAAACATATATTACTTTATTGATTTGCTTAATTTATGCTTTTAGCCATGGCCCAAGGGTTTAGCGCCACACACTCCCCCCTAAGATTTGACCCCCCCCCCCCCGTTTGGCCCATGTGCTCAGAGCTCCTGGGACACAGTGCCTGTTTCCCTGCTCTGTTTTCTCTGCTACCGAACACCAAGAACATCACAAAAGAACGGAATTCTCAGTTAACCAGGGTCGTGGTATACACACACACACAGGCTTTCTCTTATCAAAAGGTCCCCACATCCCGTATTATTTTCAGAGCATTTGTGACTCACTCAGAATGTAATTCTCTTTTCTCTCAGGCTGTTTTTCTGAAGGGGACACCTGCCTTCCCTCCCTGAAACCATGTAATGTGCCCCCGACATCCCCCCCCCCCCACCCCCAAACATGTGCAGTGTTATAATCCGGATAGGTCCACATTACCCCGCCGAGTTAGTACCACAGTGAGCCTCATCGACTCCTCATCGCGAGGTTTCTGCTTCCGCCCTCCATCGCTGAAGCAGTGGCCGTCAGAGGCCACCTCCGTTTCAGAGTAATGTTCTTCAGTGGATGTGATTTTTGAATGTTACCACTCCTGGGCGAGTCGGGGTGCTACGTGCTCTTTGTGCTTCTTCGTGTTGTTGACAGTAGCACCACCTCAGAGCATGTTCCCCATCGGTCTGTTTTTGGAAGGCAGCGAGGAGTACCTTAGACTAAAAAGAGCCCACAACCTCTTCTTCTCCCATGACTCACCACTTCTTCAAATAATGTTACAGTCATTAAGCTCCCATCACTGGGACAGCACAGACCGGGGGTGTCCGAGTGATCTTAAATATAAACAGTCCTCCATATCCTTGGGATATGAACCCCTGTTGTACTTTTATTACTTAAACAGACACCTTTCTTTGACTTTTTTTGTGAAGCAGGTGCTGTGCATCTTCCAGAAGCTCAGAAGGGTCTGCCAGTCCTTGAAGCACTTGGATGTAGAAGCTGTTGCTTAAGGGCTCTGCTCTAGGGTCTGATGGTGAAATCGCTCTGCTGACCCTGGGATTTAAACTGATGACCTTCTGATCATAGGCCCAGCAGCCTGTCTGACTGAGCCACACATCAGCTCTATGCCATGCATATTCCCTAAAGGGTAGTGTGGTGGCTCAGTAGGTTGTACACCTTCAGGATTTGGGGGCCGATTTTCCACTCTCTATGCGTGGAGCTTGCATGTTCTTCCTATGTCCTTGTGGGTTTCCTGTTGCTATTCTGGTTTCATCCCACATTACAAAAAACATGCAGTTGATCCAAACTGGTGTCTCCAAATTGCCCATTTTGTGTGACCGTGTGACTGATAGGCTTACTGGGACAGTATTATGACCCAGCACTGGATAAGCAATTTTGTAAGATGGCTAAGTTCTATCTAATTGAGACAAAATTCGCAGTCTCATTGTAACATATTTCTAAATCGAGAAAATGATTTGGAATTATTTTAGGTAAAACTGTATTGATTTTATGCTTGAATTGTATCACATGCCACTGTGGTTATGCATTAATATTATTACATCAGAAAATATTGAAAGGGTACAATGATTCAAAAGGTTTTTTGTCATTTGTACTAATAGAAAAACTGAGTACAATGAGATACTTTCTCATGTATTTCCTGTAAACAGACACGGGGCCAAACAGACAGGACAAACAGTTACACTGGACACAGGACAAAACTCAGGCAATATATAGAAGTATAAATATGTATATGTAAATATGGAGGTATTTGGGAGAACAAATAAAGTATGTTTGGGTCAAATTGACCTCGAAAAGGCATATGTCAGGTGACTTCTCGTAGTAACATAATTATCCTCCTGAGACCCAAGGAAAAAAGTGTCCTTCAATTTTAGGTTTTTTGTCTTTGGGGGAAATAAGACATCTTACAATTTAGATTTTTTCAAATTTTTTAAAATTTTTATTTCACAGCATGTCCTCTTTAGTATACAACAGGAATAAATATGTTTCCTTACATCAGTGAAAAGATAGATGCAAAAACAAAATGTCCACTACAATGGATATAAATGAATGGGTGGGGTCTCAGGAGGTTATTGTTGGAGCATGTAAGAGTTTAGCAATGTGTTTTTCAACTGGTAAAGAAAAACCACAGGTAATTTATCTACCTGTATCACACTATAATGTTACCTAAAATTTCCATGGTTTGGCTACAGTGTAGTGTATGTTGAGTCTGCAAGATCAATTCAATTCAATTAGTTTTTATATAGCGCCTTTCACAACAGTGTCGCCCCAAGTTGCTTTACATGGGTGTGTTGTGATACATTCCCATATCATTTTTATACAACAAGTTCTCCCCGTGTTGTGTGGGAATTCCTCCTGGTCATTTGCTGTCTTCTCACAGTCCACAAACATGTAAACATCTCAACCGGCATTTCTGAGTTGTATAGGGTGAAGGAAGATACTTGTCAAAACTGAACAGGACAGATGTGGGTGCAGTTTGAACCATTCAACCTCTCATTGTTGTTCATAAGCACTCTCTTGTGTTTACTAAATGAAATGCTTCGTTAGGATAGCCTGAGACTTGACTAGACATGGATCACTCAGAGGAAATGCATTATGGGACAATAAATATGATGAAGAGCAGTGACCTGCTAACTTATTTTGCAAATTTGAAAGCATTGTTTTGCACTAAAATGAATACTGATCATCTAGTAATAATTAATAAAAATGGCAACACTGTAACATCTTGATATGTCAGTTTGCAATTGGTGAACCACTGGAAGGTCTGTATTTGGCCTTCAGATATTTTTTAATTAGAGTATAGTTCAACAAGTTTCAGAGTGGGACAGCAAAACAACCCAAATAAACATGTTCAAGGTAAAAGAAAAGCTCTCAATGAAGACGATACTTTTATTATTTGTGTCCAGTTTGCCAAACTCTCACAACGTACCAATCAAATATAAATAAAGTAAATAATACAGACCTGGGTAGACCTAAAAACCAGGAAACTAAACGCTGATGAATAAGCAATAAGCAGTTGTGTAGTTCAGTTTACTTTATTTTAATCAACAATGTAACTTATACACTTCTTATGTTGCGTTCTATCATTGTTTTGCCATGCAGACTTCAGCAGACCTGATAAGGTGCGATGTGTTAACGCCAACAGAATTTATTTGCTCATAAATCTTTAGTGTGGGACTGCAACCGGTTTCATTAAATTCGATGCATACCCTTTTCTGCCCTTGAATTTAATTTAGATTATGTGCGTGCACAAAAACCTTATTGAGAAAGGACCAACACGGTTCGTTATATAGGCCTATACATGTCTGCATGTACAGTAATATATAAATTAAATTTATATAGATATAACTTATAAATATGTATTTATATACAATATGACAACAAAAATGGAACGTGGAACGAAATATTAAATTCTATTTTTTCACGGTTATATATATATATATATATATATATATATATATATATATATATATATATATATATATATATATATATATATATATATATAGTGCATATGTCATTCTCAGTAAGGCTGCACATTGTCCCTCCTTATCGCTAACAAGTCACTCAGCTCTGTCTCAAGTTCGCCAGCCCTCTGAAAAAAGCACCTGTTCTGCCCGGCGCGTCCTCGACATGGCGCGCGGCCCTGCGTGGACTCGGTGGGCGCGCTCTTTATGACAGGTCGGAGACGGGGAAAGGGAGAGTAGCGAGCGGCGAGCGAGCGTACGAGCCTGCGCTCGTGAAGGAGGGGGGGTCCAGCTGCAAAAAAAAGAGAGAAAAAAAAAACGACATAACAATGGCAGCATCAAGCACCTCGTAGATGGTGGAAAACAACTGAAGGCACCGTGAATCGGGAATACCAGCTCGGTCGACATGACTCCGCTTTAAAATCCCTGGCCATCGTATGGCGAATGGAATAGTTAAGGTCTCAATTTGTTTCCTGGAAAACGAAGACTGCCGTAATTTAAAATGGAGTGGTAGGGGGAGAGAAGCGCGCTGTCTCCATCATTGAGAGGCGCGTCCACCTGCTCATACTGGAAGTCCGGGCTTGGGGAAAACATGGAGAAGTGCCTGTGTTGAAGGGAAAAGACCGATTTCTGATTTTGTCTGAACGGGAAAGGGGGTAGGGGGGTCCCGGTGGCGAGGAAAAGGCGCAGTTTGGGTGCATCGGGAGGTAAGTTGGATATCAGTTGCCGATCGGGGGAATGCGGACGGCGCTGGTGCTCATGCCCGTTTTGAAGTGCATTTGAGAAAAGGGGGCCTCTTTATTTTTATTTGCAGGGTAACGTCCATTACACATGCACAGCCGCGGCTGTATCTCCGGGAGCCAGCTGTGCAGTTTGCATGGGATGCATGTCTCACGACCTACCTTGTATTACTTTTTTTTTTGTAACATGCGTTTCCATAATAGTGAAAAATGCAAGGAGCAGCGGATCGTGCGGCTTTGAAAGCTGCCACACGCGCCGCCTTCGCCGTGCTTAAGGGACGTGCGAGACGCTTTCCCGGGGATCGCAATATCTCGATTGCCCTGCCCGGATCAGTATTGTTACCTTTAGCAAAAAAATGTGGCTTTTGTATGTTTTTTTTTTGCATGTGCGTCGGAACAGATGAGCTACAATAATGTTTCCATTATTCTAAAGCCTGATTTTTTAAAAATATAGTGGTCCTTGTGTTAGACACCCCCTCCCCATCCATGCTTCTGGAATGAGGAAACTGGGAAGGTTTCACCGTGCACATCACGGAAACCTGTTTCGGTGTGCAACAAAGTAAACGTCGCAAGATGGTCAGAGGATGTCCCGGGGTTGTGCATCGTCGCCGTGAAGCGCTGTTTCTCCAGCGCGGCCGTTTGAACGCAGCCTGGCTGCCTGCTGTCTTTCCCTCCTATTATTATCATTATTAGGCGTGCAAAATGATGTTCAGTTAGTAGGCATTACATTTAGAGATTATTATTTTGAAAGTTTGCTTAAGTCTTGATGTTGAATCACGTATGTTGTTTTTTTTTATTTGCTGCGAGTGTTTTAATCATAATGACGACACCAGTTATAATAACGACTGAAATACAGTAATACTGCATTTATGGTATTGTTACTGTCAGTAATATCGTTGGCAAATGACAGCTTAAGAGACTGTAGGTGTGGTACAGAGAGAAACTTTTTGCTTAGAAAGCAAACATGGGCCAGTTGGTGAGTTTTCTTGGCACACCGAGCTCTCGGTGTGTTTCGGCACCGAGCCGTGGATCCTGTCCCTGCCAGAACTGCCTATCCTTGCGCCAGGTTTACTTTAGTTTCTGAATGTTTGGATGTGGTCGGAAGGGCACCAAGTATGACCAGCGCCCCAGACCACGAGCGAACTCAGTAAATGTGTGTGCGAAAAAACGATCTTCAAGATGTTTACTTTCACCAGGTGTTTTTTGTTAAACTTTTTTTTTTTCTTGGAACACTTGTGTTTATTAAAAATTCCAAATGATACTTAAAAGTACCGACTCCATACCCAGTTATGTAAGTATGGGATGATTTGTTGTAGAGTTCACCTCATTCAGAACTCAAATCGCGCAGGCCGAAAACCCAACGGTGCTTCTGGTTATATTCTGTGTCTCAAGTGGGGTTTGGCCCTTGGGAACGATGTCCTGCAGGCCGGCATTGTCGGGACTTCGGGAGGGCTCTTTCTGCCGGGGCTGGGGCCGGGGCCGGGGCTGGGTTCGGCGCTCCTGGTTTGACGCAGGTCATTGGCGCATCAAGTGGCCAAGCCCTTCAAAAAGGCGACGGGACGGCCATTTTGAGCAACGCGACATCCCGTGCATATCGGAAGCGGGGACGCGCGCAGCCTACCTGGGGGGGGGGCGGGGGGATAAAGATTTTGCACTGGAGTAGATAGCATCGTTGGGGCTCTTGTTGGATGCGGGCGACTGTAATGTTAAGGGGCAACCAACAAGGCCACGCCAACATGCCGCACGCACTGTGCCGACTTGCAGGAGGCTTGTCGATTAGCTACATCCACAACGTTTCAGTTTAAGACGATTCCAGCAAATAATTGTGTTAGTAGCTATTTGCTACTGTGTCTTTATTTAGACCTGTATGACAGGATTCATGTTCTTCATCTCACGCCGCTTTTATTTGTTAAAATAAACAATACGGTTTTACAGTTTATTATGGGCTAGTCGTAATACTAGGGAGATGTTTGTGTGTATATGTATGTATGAATCACATTTGACGACCACAAGGAAATGTGAGCAAATAGACTGTAAAAGGATCGACAGGTTGATCAGAGATCTGTTCTGTTATTTCAGTGCTCACTCTATGGCTTCAGCCTTGAGGCTCTGAAAAAGTGGACCTCTTATGTTTGCGTGTCGTGCGCGGTTGTGTAAGGGAGGGCGGACACCCTGTTTGTGTTTATTATTTGGAGATTATTGATCCGTAAAAACAACTCACCTCTCGTGCTCCTCGGCGCACAGCAGCAGACGCTCATTAAAAAATTAAAATCGGATGCCCTCTCCTTTTGTCCAGAAACAGAAACGGGGAGGACGTGTTGAGCTTGTCTTTTAGCGCTAACGTGGCACCAAAGAGCGACCGGTCAGCGAAATATAACTGCCGTCAGACGATCAGAAAGGAGGCGACTGTCTGTCACGTGCCGGGTAAAAGATGCAACGACAAGTAAATAAAAAACGGCAAACAGTGGCTTCAGATATTCTGGCTGAGTGGGATTGCGGGCGGGACGCAGCGCAGCGGGATGTGCCTGAGAATGGTAGGGGGCCTGAGATCGCCGCCTCAATGAGTGCTAACCCACCACAGCCGGTCCCGCCCACTGCGGAGTGACTGGCCCCGGCAGACTGCACAGCTGCGGCAGCTCCGTGCTGTAATTAGACGCAGAGGTGAGGTCCGAGCGAGACGGCCGGGCCCTTTGATCGCCCTTTTGTGGCCGGAGGGAAGGAATCGAGCGCTTGTCTTCTGAGACGTAACGCGCAGGCTGGGTCCGTGGTGGAGGATCATGGCCCGGCCTGCTCTTAAAGACGGAGGTGTGCCTCCCCGCCGTCCTCCTGAGGAGTCGTAATCTGAGCACGGTGGCCCTGTGCTGTGAGACCGCCTCCCGTCGGGAGGATTACAGGCAAGATGGTGTAAGCGCACACGTGGGCGACGACGAAACGTGACGTTGAGAGCCGCGGCATGGCTAATGCTAACGCCCGCGGCCTCTGCTGGTGGTCCAGCGAGAAAGGGCCAGGTGGGTGCACCGGGGCTTCCCGGAGGGCCTTGGGGGCGGGGATGGCAGGTTCGTCTAGCTCCCGGCCACATCCCCTCGCGGCCCCCTGGATAAGATGAGCAGCAGCTTCTTTGTGGCATGACGGGTGCGCTGCCTGTTGCATCATGTTACCTGCACTGTTTGCAGTCAGCGCCCCCCCCCAGGGCACCCACGTCAGCGCACGCATCTGTACCGGGGACCCGGGGGGCTAACTGCGGTGGCGACTGCTGCTCCCTGAACCGCGCCTCGATTCCTTATTTGTGTTTATCTTCTCCCCACAGTGAGATTTCGGGAATGCCGGAACGAGCCAGACTTTTTGAGTTTCGTTGGCCAATTAAGAGGCCTGGATGTGACCCCCCACCCCCCATTGTTCCTGCTCTCCACATGCCGGAATCTCGAGAACACCCTAAAAAGCCTGATGGGGGGGGGGCAACGGAGGGACTGGATGGAGGTGTTTGCCGACGTGGCTGATTTGGTTAAAAACGGGGGGGGGGGGGCGTGCTGCAGTGGATACAGGTGCACCTGCCGCTCCTGGTTAAACAAACACTGAGATAAACAGATGAGATCAACTGGCACCCTGCTCCGCGCCTCTCACTGCTTCCCAAGCCTCTCTCAAGGGAGGGGGGGGCAAAGCCATGTTTATATAAGGGCCCCGTGAATGCCTACAGCACCATTAGCACTATGGGTCCCCCCCCCAGGTACGCTTGGTCCTCTCAACTGAAGGGGTGGGAGCCACCCTGCCGGGATGTGCCCTCGGTGGAATTTGGAAAGGGGGCGGGTCCCCCCCGTGAGAGCCGGCCTGGGGAATGACAAGAGGCCATTGTGCTGCTTCGCCCTTGATGCCGGAGTCTCCGGTTTCGACCGCGCCGGCGCGGAGAGACGGCCGTAGAAGCCGGGGGGATTTATGGGAGCGGAACAAAAGATCTCTCTGCATGTGTCCCCCGGCTTCTCGTTTTACCGCAAAGACTAACAAAAGCGGGTTTTTCTATTAGAACAACAGTGATTTACACTGGAAGGGCCTAATCAATCACTTCTTTCTGAAGGCTCTTCTGCACATCTTAATCCTAATGTTGTATACTGGTTTTTGTCAACAGCGGATATGATTGCGTGTGTGTGTGTGTGTGTGTGTGTGTGTGTGTGTGTGTGTGTGTGTGTGTGAGTTCCTCTTCGTAGTCTTAAAAACCTGAAAATGATTACCTGCCGCATCCCCTGATGCCTTGACGTGAACGGAAACCCATTCATAAACTCGTGTGCTTTTTGGCAAAAAGGATAGTTTTGTTAAAACACATAAAGCGAACTTACTGTCCGTCTCGGAGGATTCCAGTTTAATCTGTCTCACACCTTTTTGAGTGGCTCGTTTTAACGTCTAATACGGGATGCTTTAACATAGCAGTGATCGTAGCGTATTATCATATCAGGCACTAGCCGTTAGCCAACCTTCCCATAACTTCATGGAAATCTGGACCCCAAATCCCAGGGTAAGTATAACACTGTGAATTTCGGGGGAAACATTTTAGCGTACGGACTTTGAAGTCTTTCCACGAGTGCGAGCTAATGGTACCTGGCTTGCGTCGGGTTACCAGTGGTGCTTTGTTTCATTAAAAATGCCGGTTTTCTCCCCATGCCCTTTCCGAAAACAGCCAATTATTGCGCCATCCTCTGTCAGAGACACCAAGGTGTACTCTGTGCTCGTTAGTTAACAGCAAAACGGCGTACTCAACAGACAGGCTCTGAGCTGGGGCTTCATCAGGAAAAGTGCATCTCTCTGGAAGATTGCATATACAGGCAATATAAGTTGAATAACGTGTTATGCTGACAGACAATAAGGGGGAGAAGGCGGAGCTGTTATTTTCAAGTGGATTTTTATTTGTGAAAATTGACCCATCGGGTATATCAAAAAAAAAAAGAGAGAGAAAATAGATTTTCAAAAAGGTCCTTTAA